AGAAACACGGACCTCAAAGTAGGTACTTCCAAATCATCGACTGATGTCGAAACCACATTAAACATCATTAAGCATTAAACCTCATTAAACATACTTGAACCTCATTAAACATCATTAATCATTGTTATATAAACATCATTAAACATCATCAAACCATCATTAAACCATTATTAAACCCGTTTTGAAGAACTATAGCAACATTCACCAATGACGTGGTCATGACTTCAACTCCACATGTTTATGCTGTCAGGCTGGGATCTCTGTGGAAGAAACATCAAGGCGTGGCTCGGGTTTCATTGACGTCACCCTTGTTTTTTAGTGGGTATTCCATTGAAAATGCTAAGAGCTTGCCAAGTTAGCCTCATAGATGTGGTACCTTTCTCGTTTTGAGATATTTTGAGATGATTTCTATATTGTTGGTGGTTTCTTTGTTAGTCCGTGTACATCTCTATGCCTGCTGTGATGACACTAATTGACTCAAAAATTCAATGCAGGTTAAAGAACAAAAGCATAAACCAGATTGCAGCGCGGAGCTCCATTAGTAAGTCAATCGGATTGCCTCGTGATTTCTCTTTGAATTCAACGCGAAAAAGCGCGTGAAATCAGGTCTGATTCGGCAAAAAGGCGCCAAGTTCAACAAGATCCAGTCCGCTGCTGACATGTGCCCCTAGGATTTGGCTTCCAAATCTGTCAAGAACTAATCGACGAAGATTTGTTGTTTCTTTTGTTATCTTTTAATCTCTTGCAATGACAATCAGGGATTTAATCATCCACAATTGGGTTTGACTGAACATAGGGTACGCGAAAAATCCAATTATTATATATTATATATGATGTACGTAAAATATTTAATTATAATTATATTATATTATGTATTTTACTTCTCAGCAACTGGCCAATATCGGGTACATACCATTTTCAGACGCGGCCAATTGGGGTTAATTATTTTCGGTCCAAAGTCACCTTTGGATGTTGGGGACTTTTCGGCTGCCCATCTTGCGATTTGGCTGGACCTGGATATGCATAGCAGGGTTAGTCCAATCATGTCCAATCAATTATAGGTAAATGATAGCCACAAGAGGCAGGGCGAAATGGCTGATTTGCTAAGATTTTCTATGTTCAGCCCATTTCCGGTATTTGGGGTTTTGGGGCAACCCTGTATAGTGATTGGTGGATTTGGTGTTTTTTTTTGTTGGTAAACCCTAGCTGACACTGACGATCCCCACTTGACTTGTAGGTTGGAGGATGGACGTAAGAGATTTTGTGAGAATGCAGCGTGAAAGACTCCATGTTACGATGTCTTGACTGTACAATGACTTGTGGAGGCAGCAAAACATCTATAAGCCATCAAGCCATATCAAGCCTAATTGATAGTATGATATAGTATGTATATACAAGTATACAGACATAGTCATACAGACATACATGAAACATTGGGTGGCCCACAATTCACATGAACGCTGGCCGCTGGCCGTCTGGAGGTACCGATGCTGGCCCTCAAAGGATTGGTTCGGAGAAGGCGAAGTGCCGTGGAAGGAGAGAGTTCAAAAACTGCTTTGGGGGGTTGAAATATTTAGTCGTTTGAAAACCATAGAAAAGGGATGATTGTATGACCAGAATATGTTTTTTGGATGGGTTAAAACGAAAAACCAAGAGAAATTTGTGGTTTTGTATTTCTTTTCCCGCAATTTCAGCATGTGAAGTTCGAGTTGTCGCCAGGAGTATTGGGATTTTGAGTTTGGCGACAGCTCTTACAACATCTGGATCTTTGATCTTCCGGTGGCTATCCTCAATCTGGAACGCATTTTCGGTGCCTTGAGCTGCTGGAGATGACTTTTAAGAACCACTTGTTGTGAATTTGGGTTTTGATTGCTTTGGATATCACATGTTTTACATGTTTTACATAGATATCCTTCTGCTGGGCAGTTTCGATTTAGGGGGGTTGGATGGGGTCGGGAGTTGGCCAAACAGAATTTCTGTTCTGGGAATGGGATGATCCACCAAATGACTCAGTCCAACCGTTCCAACCTCTGTCATTCTTCCGAGAGTCTGATACCTCGATTCAACTGCTTTTATAATCTTTTATACCGGATTTCATCATATGTCATCCTTCGAAAACACTTGGTTTGTTGACATTTTTTGCTTGTCAACTTAGTCAACTTGTCATCCTTTCATATCCTTTCGTCAGTCCTTTAGTCCTTTGACTCCAAGGTGACCTTTTCCTTCGCATGCGTTGGCCCAAAGCCGGCAGCCAGGAGGCGCGCGAGCTGTCGCAGCTTTCCAGCTGCGAGGCCTTCGTGGAGCGCTTGACGACGAAGTCGCAGTGGCAGGAGGGGATCACCGGGACCGGGGACGCCATGGAGGTGGACGAAGATGAAGATGTGGACGTGGGATCTGAGTGTCCAACGGCTGACAATTTTAAGGGGCGGTGCTGCTGCTGGTGTTTTGGGTTCTGACTCAGATTCAACATGATTAATGTTGTGGTGGCAGTTCTATTGATTTGAAATTAGATATAGATAGATATGTTATGATATGTTCATTTGTACTAGTCATAGTCGTGGAGTGGGGAATGCTAGCCGCAACGACCGTCTCATTGAGAACTCGATCCAGTGTAATGTTACTGGTATCTTAGATGTGCTAGTAAGATATGGGAGACTCATAGGTCCCAGCAGTATAAACCAGCATTTTCGGATTCACAACATGGATGACAGGATGGTTCCCCGTGATGGTTCCCCGTGGTTCCCCGTTGACCCAGGGGATTCGGAGGAGGATTTTGACTTCACTCTGAAGCCCATCTCATTCTTCATGGAGCAAATCTGGTGGTCCGACACGCGCGTGTGTCGGTGGTTCAACCGCCCTCGCCAGACAGAGTTTATGGACAGGGCCGGGAACAAAGGAGGCGGTTTGGGAGGGCATTATGCCCTGTTTTTTGGTTACATCGGTCATGTGTAGTGTAGTTGATTATGTCCAGTCAAACTGAGCAGTTTTGATATACTGGGACTGTGTCATTTCATCAAGCAAATAGCCCATTATTCCAGTGGGTTAATTTTGCAATAGGACCCCGGCCCCTCAAAAAAAAAACATTGAGCAGTGGAACTATGTTGTTAGTTTTCTGATTGGTAATTTCCCACTGGTTCTGTTCAAGAGTTTCGAGTTTCCATGCAAATCTTCCTTGGTGCTTCATCCTTAGTAAGTTATATACCCCCAGTTTTCAGTGGATGACCCGAACTCGTCCCAGTTCTAACATGTTATAAGCAGGGCACCTGGGATCTCGGCAGCAGGAGATGTTGCGGCGGCGGCCCTATCTGAACACTGGAGAGCTGATCCCCAGGCGTCCAGCGCCCACGCAGGGCTTGAGTTTGCTCCCTGGGCAGGACGCGGAGTCCATTGCTTGGGGACAGCCTGGGAAAACCCATCCGGTCTTCCCCGATCCGTCCGGGGGAAAACCCGTAGGGCCGTAGGGCCGATGGCTTTTCTGATCATCTCCATTTTTAGGAGACCGAGTGGGAAACAGAAAGTTCCCATGATTTGATTTACCCTTGACTGCGTCAAACACGGCGTGCTGGAAGCTCCCCCATTTCATTAAATTTCATTAAACATATCTCTTTGTTGAGTGTTTAACCTTCATTTCCATCCATTAAATTCCCTGAAAAATCTCTCTGTGTTGATTGTTTAACCATCTTTAACCTCCAATGTCCTATGATTATTTCCTACTGTGGATGGAAGAAATCCTGCACCAGTTCATAGGTGGTTTATATCTTTACAGGGTTTCAACATGTTTCAACCATCCTTTTGCTGCAGGATTTTTTATGAATTTCTTCCATCTATGCGCAACGCTCACTTGGGATGTCCCAGGAGTCCGTCTTCATGACCTGGGATCGGCATGAGCTTTGGGTCTACGCCTGCACCTGGGCGAGATTTTCCCTGTTCCCAGTGGAAAATGCACCAGAGATGGGGAATCTATAGGGAACATTCGGGAACATGTTTTTTAATTTTTGAGATTTTTGGGGAGCCCTTAAGCAAATCCAAGATGATACATGGGATAAGAATTCATGATTAAGTTGTAGAGTAATATTATTATCCCTGTGAATTATTATCCCATGAAATAGGTTGTGATAGGCTCATTTGATACATGGGAAATTTATTCACCTATTACAGTTGGCTGGTTTAGGTTCATGTAGTTTGATATACATTTATATACTGTATATATATAATTATATATATATATATATGTGTGTGTGTGTCTTCGATTTGGGTTTTGGGCATTGCAAATAGACATAGATTGCATGACTCATGAATTGTCGCGAACACCAACAGCACCTTCCATTTGATGGTGCGAGCCGTACTGCTTCGCTACATGCTTCGCCCATGTCCGAGGCTACGTCGACTGAGACTGGCCACTGCTTTGCGGAAAAAAGGGGGATGCGTTGCTTTCGTGACGGAGCTGGAGGTTAACCATCTCCGGTTGAAGATGGTTTGTTGATGGGTCGTAACTTTGATGTTTCTGTTTGTTGAAGACACACACACACACAAAGTTCATGAAGTTTGGGTATGGTTCAAAATGATCAACCCAGAAAATAGGAGGTTTGGGTACTGTACCTTAAATTTGATGGTTTTTCAATGTGTGTAATCAGTTTTGTTTCCATGCAAAATGACTATCTAAGACTATATATTTCATGGGAATATCCCGTTTCCAGACACACCCAAATAGGGTATATAATTCATGGTAATTCTATATTTTACTCTTTGGCTAAGTCCAAGTCGTTTTCCTGGCTAACAATGAATTAGCCACTGAATAAATAGATTTACCCCTGAAAATTTTAATGAATAAATAAATGAATTACCCCTGGCTAACAATGAATTAGCCACTGAATTAGCCCTAGAATTACTCTAGGGTAGACATTTTCAATTCGATGTGGTTTTTTCAACCACCAGCTGATCATTTCCCGGGACACCATGGATATTCCAGATCAACTGCAGGTCTACGTTCATCCCTGCAGGTCTTGGCCCTTGTGGGTGCCCGCCCTGTCCCAGATTCCTTGGGACGTGTGAACAAGGCCGCAGCCAGGGTCGGTGATGGACGCCTCAAGCTATTTTCACAGGAAAGTCATGGGAAAATCAATCATCATTTTTTAATGGAACATCACATTTTTTGATAGATTTTAATTGGTAAATCCTGATCAGTCATCTATAAATGGACCATTTTCCATAGCTATCTTAAAAGCGCAGATGGTAGGACCAACATCAACCTCGCATTTTACGGGGAGAGGACACCATGGGAAATTTGGCCAAGTAAGATAGGGGAATTGGAAAATCTATGGGGGCCCCAGTGTATTTGAAAATGGAAATTCCCCAGAAATGTTGAACGAAAAGGGGGAAAACGGGGAAAACGGGGAATTCTATTTTCACAGACCAAAACCTATAGGATTATTATGATTCCAAACGGGGCCTGCTTTTTGGCCACCCATTCGGGCCTGCACTTTGTACATCCAAGGTACGGTATGGATGGGTCAAAACGCAAGACCTGTAGCGTATGGTTTCAATATGTTTCAATAGGCGAAGTTGAATGTGGTAAATCCATGTAAATCCAATGATCAATCCGCCCAAAGTTGTGAAACGAGAAATGGATTGTGTTTCAATCATCCCCAATTTGAGGTTTATGGCATTGGGTTCAGCACATCGTCTGAACATAGGGTATGATTCACCGTATGATGTATCCTCAAATGTTATGCTTGAAGAGCATTTTTCATACGCTTCCCATTCACACACCACGAATCGGGGGTATCCCACACAGTCCCACACTATGTTGATATTTTGTTGATACCCCAGAAAACCTATCGACTCCATCATCATGAACCCAATTCTTGCCATTTTGATCGCAACACTTTAAAACTTCCGGAAATCGTCCAGGTGTTCATCTCTTTTTCAGGCTCGGCTGGGGTAGCCCCTTGGTACCCCTGGCGCATCAGGTGGAGCTAATCCCCTTGGAGGAACTGGGAAGGCCTCGTGTGGACGTTCCTTGGAGACCGCAGACATGGCTCTGAAAAAAATGGTGTGTGAAATCACCAAGCTTTGGACGGGGATATCTTTAGGGGATTTACTGGGGATATAACCCATAGGATCCATGTCTGGTATATATGCTAACATTTGGGGTATATTGATGGTAAATGTTACCATATATAGCATACATGGATCCTATGGGTAAGGATATAGACAATATATATAGACATAGAACCACCATTTTTCGCAAGAACATGTGGTAGCGAACATGGCAGTTTTTTGTGTCTCTGAACATGTGGTGTCGCCCTGAAATGATATGTGTCTTTGAATCTGATGATAAACCAGTATTTCTAGACAAGTGGACAATCTCCGACAATCTCCGACAATCTCCATGACTCCTTTGGATGCATTGTTGTAATATCCTTGGTGAAGTCCTATAAGTTGTGCTTGAATCAATCGAAAGTAAAGGGTCATGTCCCAGATTTGAGGTGAAACGTGTACCGTAAATCCGAAAAATGCGGTTGAGATCTTGAAAATCCAAAGTGTCTCTGGGCTGACTTTCCAGTGGTTGCAACAAATCATGATCCCCGGCTTCTCTCGATCCATGGCCTTTCCTTCTTCCTGCTTGAGTATGTTTTGTCTTCCATGTCTAAATCCACTTGAAATGTGGAATCTACTGTGAATATCCGAGAAAGGTGGTAGTTAGTCATTGGGAATCCAAGTTAACCATGATCTGGTTAACTATTGTCCATCCCGTTCTGATTATCCAATCCCTTAAAATACGTACCTCAATTGGGGATGGATGGATGGTTTATTGGGTCTACAATATTATATACTCAGTACATTCAGCATTATCAGCCATAGATAAACCTGTTTGAACCATATATGATCCCTTTTCAACCACAGATGAACCATGTTTTTTTTCTTTGTTTAACCAGTCTTAACCATTCATCACAATTAACAATGATTCATAAGGTACCAGATTCATCTATTTGTCTACTAACACAATATTGAAACCATGGGTGAAACCAGTCTCAACACAATATTGATCCATCATATATGATGGTTGAGACTGGTAGATCATCACATCCATAATTTTAATATCCAAAAATGATCAAACAGGCAGATTATGGATGTGATGATCTACCTTTTTGATTCCCTTTTTCGGAAGATGCTCCCCCGGCTTCGGCGCGACTCTCCCCAGGTGGTCTGCAATTGCTCGGGCGTCTTCCGTGACCTCTTCATCAACCAGATGAATCTTCTGGACCGAGCCATCAAGGCGACGAAGCGATGATGAAAGATGTGGATTTGTTGATGAAAAATGGACAAACCTAGTGAACTCTGGATTTTAAACATGAGTTTGATATGATTTAACATGATTTAACGTGCTTTGATGGGATTTAATCATGATTTAGTGATGTCACGTGATTTAAACATGTTTTAACATGCTTGAACATGATTTTACAATCAAACATAGTGATTTAACCAGTGACTAATGAATATGGCTGGGTGAAAAAAACAGATCACAAAGCTCTATGGCCATAGGGCACAGCCAATAACCAGCAGCTATCCAGCTGGATCCATTGGGATGGGCTGATTGAAAAAAACCATACCCAGTGGCATCTCATAGATTGGATGATGGGAAAATTGGAACCGGAACCCCCCATTTTTTTCATGGTAAAAATCAATCTAATGGTACTCTACATGATGCGGTTTTTCCAAAATTCTGGAAAATCCATGAAAATCCATGAACCATGATAAACCCAATTTGTGTCCTTAGTTTTTTGGGGGGAACATGATGATAAACCAATGAATTTCAGGGTATCCTCTTTTGAGACAAACCCGTGTGGACCGGATCCCAAAAAATTGTCCGACCCAGTTCATGGCCACCCTGATTGGCTATCCAGAAGAATAAACTTCAGCTGCTTAGAGTCTTTAGAGTACATATTTATTTATTATATGTATATATATATATATTATAGAGATTTATAGCCAAAAAGACCTTAAAAACGCGTAGAGCTATGGAGGTTTCCATTTTCAAAATCGGGGTACCCCCCTTTCCGTCATCCGTTGCAAGTCATCGGTTTCTCGCCAGGCTGCAGCAGAGGCGGAGGAGCCAGTGGAGATGAACTTCGTGCGCAAGCACGCCATGGAGCAGGTGAGTTCTCGAAACCACTGAGTGATCGGTGAAAAATGGTAAATCATATTTGGAGTTCATGAATTATATATATATATTAATTATATATAGTAATTATATTGTTTTGTGATAAGCATTGTTGTAGAGAAACCTATCAACTATGAGATGGGATAGGACCTGGATATGGTATGGGTAGGATTGGCCACTGGCCATGTTCGGGAATTCAGGGGGAACATCTAGAGCAAACAGCGCGGTTTACCGTGGTTTTGCAATGTAACATTTCAGAAGAAACATACATATATATATATACATAAAACATATAATAGATACATACATAATAGATAATATATGTATATAATTTATAATATAATATATTGAATATATATATATATAATATAAATAATATATAATATAATATAAATAATATATAACATAACATAACATAATATAATATAATATACTATAATATAATATAATATACTATACTATAATATAATATAATATACTCTAATATAATATAATACAATATAATATAATATAATATACTATAAATAATATATAATATAATATAATATAACATAATATAATATATAATATAATATAACATAATATAATATATAATATAATATAATATAATATAGTATAATATAATATAACATAACATAGTATAATAATAATATATAATATGATATAATATAATAATAATATATAATATGATATAATATAATATAATATAACATAATATAATATATAACATAACATAACATAACATAATATAATAATATATAATATGATATGATATAATATAATATAACATAATATAATATATAACATAACATAACATAACATAATATAACAATATATAATATGATATAATATAATATAACACAATATAATATATAATATAATATAACATAACATAACATAACATAATATAATAATATATAATATAATATAAGATAATATAATATATATATAATAATATATAATAATATATAATATAATATAATATAATATAATATATAATTTAATATAATATAATATAACATAATATAATAATATATAATATAATATAATATAATATGCTAATTTGTACTCAAACACAGTGGACTCAGTTCACTAATGGCTGACCAGGTTCCCTCTGAAACACCACGGCATGGCGCCAGCATGGGTGTCATTTGGAGGTTTCCGAAGTCATGGGGTGTACCCCAAATCCATGGAATATACCGTGTATATACCATGTACATGATTAGAACTATAATCCAGATTGATAAAAAATGATTACATATGATTATATCATGAGGTTTTAACAAGAATTTCCATCATGTTAACCATCCAGCTATTGGGGTACCCCCATTTATGGACCCCCCCATAGATACTATGAAACCACCATGGTGACTCATCCCGACAGCGACAGGCGCAAGAGCTGAACATCTCCCTTCGACAGGCGATCCATGGTGGCCGTGTCTTTAAATGGATCCCCAATAGCTGGGATGGAATTATCTCATGGAAAATCCCAAAAATAAAATGGATGATTTTGGGGGTGCCCCCCCATTTAGGAAACCTCCAAATGACCCATGTGTATGTGTGTTTTTTCGCTTGTAAGTTGATAATATCACGTTGAATCATCACTTGTGCCACAATCCGAAAAGGCGTAACAATGGACCCGAGCACCTATGTCCAGTTGTAAACTGTCCATCCATTTTGTTCCATTTTGTGGCTTGGATTGATTCAAAATTGTCAACCCCATTCCATCCCACTAAAACTGCCATAGATATCCATAGATTTGTTGCAATTTCCATTTTGTGACTTAAGTGCATTTTGCTCTCTGTGTGCATTTTATGTCACTTAACTCATCATTGAAGTGCCGTTTTCAATGTACAAATGGTTGGTTCCAATGTGCAAGTGCCGTTTTCCTATTTGGGATGAGGGTCCCCAGCATTTTCCCACACATAGTCACATACACCAAAAACCATGTCCAATAGAGTTAATGTACCCATTCCCATAATAAGGATGACAATAAACCATATATAATCATATACCCTCCGGGGATCAAACATGGTGTGCTGGAGAATTCCCTTTTGCCCCCGGAAAAAAAAAAAAAATATATTTTCCATCTCAAACTGTTAGATTCCCAGAGGGTAAATCCATAAAATTGCCATGGTTCATGCCAGATGTTCATAGATTTTCCATATATTTGTCCCATGTTTTCCCCATCAAATTCATTTTTTTCAAGGTTTTCCATGGTTTTTCCAGCCAGCAATGGTTGATTCCCACGGGGCGGCCATGTGTGGCGGAAAACAGGCCGCCACCCGTGTCTTCAGCAACGCGGCGGGGTCCTACTCTGCCAACGTGGGCATTGCCATCGAGAACGGCGCCAACGTAGATGAAGACCAGCTCCAGGATTTTTCGGCGGAAACCAACAGGATTAGCTTGGGATAATTTATAGTATAAGGATATGGAAGGATATTAAACTATATTAATATGTATATATTATATATATATCTCATATATAATTGTTTCAGATATTAATATTATATATATATATATATGTATAGGGGATGTTATAGGGATAATTTAAGTTTGTAGGGATATCATACTATAGTAGGAACAGCTTTGACATTATGTGTGATAACTTGAATATTTTTCTTCTGGGGACTTTCTGGGCAAGCAACGGGATTTGATTGTACTAAGCAATCTTTTGCTACAAATATCGTAACCCCCAAACAGATCGAAAAGTATAGAACGGTATATAGATTATATAGCCAAGTATATTAGTGGCATTTCACTTGTCCGCCTTTTCTGCTATACGTGTAAATGGAGATACTATGTGTATATAGTATATATATATATATATTGTTGGCTGTATATCCACTGTTGCATATCATTTGGGTGCTACAACCCAACGATCTCATCGTTTCTCCAGCCAGTTGAGCAGTTCGTGCATCTCCCTTCAGGAGCAGTTCGTGACACGCAAGGGCTTCGCCCTGAGTTCCGATGCGCCGGGAGAGTTACAGGAGGCCTCGGGTCTCTTCAAATCTGCGCTGAGTAAGGCGCGCTGCCGGGGAATCCCTACAAACCTAAGAATCTTGGGGGGATTAATCATGAAACATAGGGTAAATAGGGTTAGCCATGGCTTAAGCATCAAACATGATGGTTCAAAAATATTGAAATGGGATGAAATGGGGGCTAATATAGCCTATAATGCCAATATGTTAATAGAGTATATGCTAGAAACCGCGTTTATTTGGACCCCAAAATCAGTTCATTCAAGACGAAGTCAGGGTCGCCTTTGAGGTATTTGATATTTTGCGGATGGGATCAAATGCCATCATACAAGCCAAGTCTACATACACATATATATATGTATATGTAGAATATCCTCACTTATTCATTGGGTTTTTATATGTAGAATGTCCTCACTTATTCATTGGGTTTTTATATGTAGAATATCCTCACTTATTCATTGGGTTTTTCAGAACGTCAAGTAGATTGGTACCCAGATAAAAAGGCAACTTGATGGTGGACGTTAAAGAAGTGCCACAACCGTGTCGAAGAGTTCCTTGAACAGCTTGAAATCTGTTGATGTTTTGCTCTTGAAAGACCATACAGTACCAATTTAGACAACAAATATCAAGTCTCAATGTTGCATGCTGTTGATCGTTGTTTTTTCATATGGTTTCATCATGTTTCATCCTTAGTTCCAAGCCTGAAATTGTCTGAATATGTTGTCTTGACTACATCGCTTGTTGTTTGAATGAGCATTATAACAATGAATCAACAAGACATCCTGTATCAGCATCTTGCCTCACATACCTGAAGGTTTGGACCCGATCAATCGTACTATATGCGGAACTCCCAAAGTGGTAAACCCAAGAATCATCCCACGTGTGTTTTTGTTTGCAAAAACAAACAAACCTACTGTAGAGAAAACAGGCATTTCGGTGCCTCAGTTTTCGCAGGCGTTTCAGCCTTAGACCCACCAGGTACCGCAAAATTATGGTAAAAGTATGTATAAAAGTGATTATGGAGTAAAACAACATGTTTGAGTTCTGTGAAAGGGTACAACCGTAGGGTATATACAGACCTGCAGTTGTTCTTCGACGGGTTTTCGCTGCGCTTCCACCGGTTCCACCATTCAGGTGGACGTGACCTTCCAAAATCTGGACAGTAGCGAGATTTCGTTGACGGACGTGTCGCACTACTTCGACAACGACCCAACCAAGGTGGTGGGCAACCTGCGCAAGGCGGGATGGCTCCAATGTGGAACATCTGTTGGATCTGTTGGGGGAAGTCCAACACATATTTGACAAACACATACTAAAACCATCGCTAAAACCATAATTTTGGATGATGAAACATGGTATAAACATGGTATAACTTGGAATCTTCTCCCGCCATTTTCCATGGCCAGGACGGCAAGAAGCCGGCGTCGCTGATCGCCGACACCACCACGGCCAACGCGCAGGTGCGGTCGCTCTCAGCGCAGGCGCGGCAGCCTCGCAGATGGGAAAGGCAGAGGATAATGGAGGTTTGCATGTGAAAATATGGACTGGTTGGTGGTTTGGAACATTTTTTATTTTTCATTATTTTTCCATATATTGGGAATAATCATCCCAACTGACTTTTAGATTTTTCAGAGGGGTTGAATCCACCAACCAGGAACATCATCCTGGAACATATTTTAGTGAACATCCTGGAACGACATGCAGGGGACTGGAAGATGGGATTTTCCCACATCGATCATCTTTGTGAATTTTCTGGAAGATTTTTTTTTTTTCTAGGGTGACGGTGAAGGGATTGGAGGGAAGACTCATGGACTGAGACCCCAACTAAAACACGCTAAAATCATGGTTTCAACCATTTCAAGTTTCCAAGTTTCAATGACTGTATTCTATTTGTTTCCCACCATAGGAATGATCATCTCCGATGCTTCGATAGCCTTATTTTGAATGGAAAAATGTGGCAAAAAATGCCGGAACCCACGACATGTCATGGGAAAATCCATGGTTTCCGGTGTTCAGATTTTCCCATCAAAACCAATCCATTGAAACCGATTGAAACTGTAACCATCTGTAACCTGAGTATGGTTGGTTTCCCAGTTTCCCCATTGTATCCCCATTGACCCATTGATGAGGGCTCAACAATGCGAAAAAAAACACAGGTCCGCCTGGATAGCCGAACCAAGCTCTTGAACCCCAAGTTCTACGAGGCACGGAGATGAAGGGTTCTATGAAGTTCTATACATTTTATAAATGGTAAACATAGTAAAAACAACTGCAATATGTAACTATAATAATAGATAATATTATTACGTATGATAGAGCTAGTTACATATAATATAATATAGAGCCAGTACTATGATAATATGAATGGTTACTATCGTGGTTTTTAATACATTACATCGAGGGGGACCATCCCATTTAGCAGCTGAACCTCCCATCAACTCATAGCAACTTTGGCATCCCCAAATCATCCCAAATCCCATTGCTTTTTCCCATCCAAGAACACCATACACAACTATTCTTGGTTGTGAAATAACCGCTTGCATACCACCTGGTTTAGTAGGGACTGTGGTAACTATGTGTAACTATAGCCCACAATATCATGAAATAGACATGAATCAACCACAAGTTCCTGGAATGGAACAGTGAGTATAGTTTCATTTGATGGCCACTTACATCTACGTTGTTGCCGGCAAAACCATGCTAAAGCCCCATTTATTATGCCATTGAACTCCCAATCTTGTCAACTTCCATTGTTTTTATGTTTGTCCAATTAATCCCATGTCTTGCTTATGAAATCCCACTAAATCACATGAAACCAGATTTTTTACTATTCTCACGCCCATGTCTTACTCATTAAAAATCCAATTAAATCCCACTCAACTCCCTTTAAATCCCGCTCACATCCCATGAAATCATCCCACTAAAAGCCCTTTGGAAAGTCTAAAAGTCCCTTGGAAAGTCTAAAAGCCCCTTGGAAAGTCTTCCAAAGGCCAATCTGAATGGTGGCTATGAGGGCGTGCGCGAGATCTCGAAGCGTATGCGCTTTACCTTTGGCTGGAGCACCACCGCCGACGCCGTGCCGTGCCGATAGGGGAGATGGGCTGGTCTCCTATATGTATATGGATATATACAATTATGGATAAATATGAATATATGGGGGCAAGTCAAAATAGGAGGTCCGGAACAAGCTCCGGGACCACACCCGTTCCATACCCCCGTTCCATACCTGCTTGAAGGATCCGTTCCATACCTCTGTTCCATACCTCTGTTCCATACCTCTGATCCATACGTTATTATATAATACATAATTATATATAATTATTGTTTATTTTATATATATATATATATATACATATTTGATTATGTGCAATCTGATTTTACATTTGTACGCACATATATGAGCGCACGTACATACATGAGTGCATACATGCAAGAATACGTTTACTATGCCCAAGCCCTGTGATTGTGTTGGCAAGTCTGTGCCTGCAGCACTTACAGCTGCTACCTACTTTGTTGTGCGATGGTAGGGATGTGCTTGGCTGCTGCCAGCTGGCAGTCTAAGAATGGATTGCTTGTAACCCTCCCTCCCTCTCAACCTGTGGCAGGTTTGTGCCTGCACCACTTAAAGTTGCTGCAGGCTGTGGCACAGCTGTGGTGTTTGATTGTAGAGATGCGCTTGGCTGCTGCCAGCTGGCAATCTAAGAATTGCTTGCTGCGCTTTTCTCGCTCCAAACTGCGAATTTTGATAAAGATGTGCTGCGTGGTGGCAGTGCTGTGCTGGAGTGGGCCGTTTCGTTCCAGACCCCGTTCCATACCGTTCCATACCCGTTCCAGACCTGGACCACCCATGTACCACCCCTGACCCACTGGTGAACACATGGCAGGTTCTCACATAGACTGCTCGTAAGCCATCCTTTGTGCGCGGGTTATGGGAGGGTAGAGTCTTGCTATGCAGGGACACAATCTACCCCATAGGGACCTCTGAGTTTTAAGAGTAGGAGGTGGGACCTGCGTGACAGGTCTGAAGCTCAGTCGACAGCTTCACATGGGTGACACTGGCTACCGGTCGTGTCATATCTAGTGCACGAGCACTAGCCATGCAAGGCAAACCTGCGTTGAACAGGTGTACAACAAGGATGTCGTGCAGATGAGGAGTAGCTTCAATGTGCATATCCTTGAGATGTATATTATATATATATATATATGTTACATATAATGTGTATATATATATATTATATTTATTTATGTATAGCCTATATTTCATCACACTCCAAAGGTCCGGAACAAGACCAGTTACGAAGCCCCTTCGTTCCATACGTCCGGAACACCGCGGAACGTTCCATACACAATTTTGACTCGGGACCTAATATGTATATATATATATACATAATATGTATGTGTATATATATTATACAATATTATACAAGTATGTGTGTTTTGCAAGATCAGAAGTGAGTGGGTTCAAACAACCATCCTAAATTGGTGACATTGATCAGTCTGTTTGCAGGAAATTGAAAAAGGGTACCAAAGTTGGCTTCCACATCTATTTTGCTGGAGAGCATTGTGGTAAACGCAAGATCAAACCATATTTAGATATGATATGCCGTATAGGTTGTTAAAAACCATGTATACAAATATACAAACTAAATGTCATTTTAATCAGCAGAACCAATTCCAAGCGAGGGTACAACTTGATACAGCTAACAAAAATGGTTTCTTTACGAACGAAAACATTGACCATCAAAGGCGGACCGTCCTATTCTCCCAAGACTTGTGGGAGATCCCTGTATGGGTGTTTTTGAACATCACTAAGAAGAAAGAGGCACTGAGCCTCCAGGTATCTATAGTATTCTATAGTCAACTGGGGGTTATGTATCTATGTCATGAACTACTAATCATATAATGGCATAACTCCCATTAACTAAAGATAAATGTGGAACTAGGAAAAAACAACATAGAACAATGACCACAAAGTGATGATGAACAACTATTTGTTGTGAAAGAATATCATCTCACTAAGACACACCCTATTTGTTGTGGAGTCGTCCCATCCCATCATGGCATAATGGGAATCCTTACAATGGTTATGTATAATATATATATATATATTTATTTATTTTTATTTATTTATTTATTTGATTATTTATTTAATTATTTATTTATTTATGTATTTCTCCTCCGTAGCCATTTTGGCTCCAGGCAAAGTTTGTTAGGGCCCAAACTTCAGAGAAGACTCTGATGGATCACTTCACCAATTATTTTTTTCTTGGTGTTTGCTTTTTCATTTGGTGCTTTTTTGTCGCCTTTTGTGCGTTGTTTTTTTCTTTGGGCTGTGGATTTTGATGTTTGTATACGCCGGTGCCGTACCAGCTGCTCAAATGCGGGCCCGGCGCTGTGGCGTCCGAAGAGGCGGAGGACTTTGGAGGAAACCCGTGGCAGGCGATTTTAAAAAGGATACCCCCCAAAATAGGCAGACATTCAGGAAATGCTTGGGGCGACTAGCGCATTTTTTTTTGCTTCGTGCCATCGCCGTTGCGTGAGGGGTCTTTTTTTACACGCGCTTGCTCTGGTGCAAAACACCCTTGCATTTCATCAAAAAAAAGTTGTTCGTTTTTTTTGGTTTTTGTCAAGTCCTTTGTGAAGTCAGCTCGGTTGAGGTCAGCTTGAGGCCACCTTGAAGTCAGGTTGATGTCAGGCTGAAGTCAGCAATTGAAGCCAGCTTGAAGTCAGCTCGAGGTCAGCTTGAGGTCTGGGGTCGCCCTCAAGGTGACGTCAGCTTTAGGTCAGCGTCAGCTTTAAGGCACTCTGAGGTCAGCTTCAGGCCGCCTTGAAGCCACCTTGGGTCAGGTTGAAGTCGTCTGGAAGTCAGCCTGAAACCACTCTGATGTCTGGTTGAGGTCACCTTGAGATGGACTCTGAGGTCACCTTGGTGTCAGCTTGACGTCAGCTCAAGCTCAGCTTGAGGTCAGGTTACGGTCACCTTTTGAAACCACTTTGATGTCACGTACTTTGACATCACCTTGGCGACACCTGGAGGTGAGCTTGAGGGCACCAACTTTGATGAGGGTACCTTCGGGTCAGCTTGTGGTCAGTTTTTGAAGGCACCTCAAGTCCGGTCAGCTTCGGCTCACTTTGAAATCGAATTGAGGTCACCTTGTGAGGCCACCTTGCAGTCACCTTGTGAGGTCAGCTTGATGTCAGTTTCAGGTTTAAGGTCACCTTGAAGTCGGCTTTTGAGGTCAGCTTGGCTTGAGGTCACCTTGCGAGGTCGGTCAGCTATTGAGGTCACCTTGAGATCACATTGAAGCCAGCTTGAAATCACCTTGACGTTTCCTTGAAGTCATTGAGGTCACTTGTCAGGTCAGCTTGTGTCTGTGGAGCGGAACCTTTGCAATGGAAAGGAGGAAGGATGCACATTATCCCCAAGAAGGCAAACATCTTGCGTGCTGACGCAATGAGGGGTATCATGCTCCTTACTACATGTGGCAAGCTCTATCATATCGTATTGCTTCTGCCATGGACCACGGCTACAAAGCTGTCTGCCCAGATTGGTGGATTTGGCGGTCGGCGGACGAGTTTTGCTACGCATCTCCTGAGAATTTATTGCAGCCTTGCCAAACGTCAGGGACAATCTTTTGGGTTTTTTTCTTTGACGTCAAAGCAGCTTTTCACAGCATGATCCGTGAACACACGTTTGGTGGGTTTGGTGGTGGGGATCTTCCCGCTCGGTTGTGCGCTGTTCTTGATAATGCTGGATTCGACTTATGTGCATTGCGCAATGAGATTGAGTTGCGCAGCGGCGCTTTTGTGGTGCGCACCCCAATTTGTGTCCCCAACGCGTTGTTCAAGATGCCCATCGCTTCACCTGGTATACAGTTGATGGACATGAAAATTGTCATTGTGTACCCACAGGGGATCACGTCCAGGCAGTCCACTTGCTGACATCGCGTATGACATCACCATGGTGAATGTACTAAAGGAGATTGATCTTCGACTTCATTCCCTGGCATCCCTATGCGCAGCAGCACATCAATTGCCTGAATTTCCACCTCTTGTCACCTGGGTTGATGATTTTGCCATTCCCAGATGCGGTTGGTTGGGTTCTTTGGTCGTCCAAGTTCTTGAAGCAGTCCGAACTGTTATGCGCTCCTATGGATTGCAGCTGAACATGCAAGCTCGCGAAACAGAGTTGGTTTGTCAATGTCACGGGGTTGGCGCAGCTTCGGATCTTGTCGTCACAATGATTCATCGAGCATCTTGGCCGGCTTGTCCTTCCTTCAGGTGAAAGTTTGCACGTGGTTGGTCAATATCAACAGCTTGGCACAACTTTCAGCCAGTCCCTTTCGCTGACCAGTGAGCTTCAAGGCCGCATCGGCAAGGCGGCTGCAGCATATTGACAACTCTCCAAGACAGCTTTTGGCAATCGCAAGCTTGCCCCAGCATTGCGCCTGCAGCTCCCTGAATCCTTGGTTTTGTCAATCCTGTTTCATGGTTCTGGCACTTGGCCCCTACTAAATCAACGCCAGTATACCAGCCTTGCGCACGTGATCATTGGTTGGCAGCGACGCATTGTTGGTGATGGATTCCGGTCGTCGACCATGCTCTCTGATGCAGAGTTTCAAGCCAAATGGAAGCAACTGCCTCTTTCTGCTCCTCTATGCGTTCAAGATGGTTCAACATGCCCCTCAAGATCTTGTGACCTGCATTACAGCTGAGGACTTGTCGAAGTCTGGATCCCCCTGGTGCAATGCTATTCGGCATGCAGTTCAATGGATGAGACTTGACTACATGTTCCTGATGGGATCGTTCATGACCCTGTTCATGATGCTGACTCACTAGTCGCATGGCTTCACGCACATCATCAAGCTGGACCGCGTTTGGTTCGGTCCCTTGCTTGTCGGGCTGTTCAGCAAGATCGCCTGGCCTACGAGTTACGCACAAAGACCCAGCGTATCTATGATGCTTGCCGTCAGTTTGGCGTTGAGTTTGACCAGATTCCGGCAGCGCCTCTGACTGCTGATCGCAGTCTTCATTCTTAATTACCATGTTTGCTCCAGAAGCTCATCCGTCCAAGGACTATATACAAGCTCGTCAGTGCCGGAAGCACCAATTGTTCTCGCAAGAACGCCGCTATGTGTTCGATGCCACTTGTCGGGCCTGCAACCGATGTTTCTGGTCGACGCAACGTCTTCAACAACATTTGAAGTGGAGTCGGCGCCATCCAGACGGCTGCTTTGCTATTCTTCAGAAGTATTTTCAGCCCCTGGATGACCCTGTGCAATGCGAAGTCCTTCGCCCGTGGCATTCATCGGTACCTTTATGTGCAGTTGAAGGCCCTCTTCCTGATGTAATGCCCTCTGTGTGGGCGTGTCAGCAGCAGGCCAGATATGAAGCTCTGCGTCTGACTTGGCGTCAATATGGATTCCCTGACTCATTGCCTGAAGAGTTGGCCACCAGAGTTTCTACGCAATGCACTTTGGCCACACAGGAATGGATTGCCAACACTCCGCGTGAGGATGTTTGCTACAATCATCTCATGCATCATTGGTTGGAACTGCTCGATTCCTTGAGTGCTGCTCTTGCTGATGATAATGCGCATTACAGTGTGACATGGGCGTTCTTGCTCTGGGGACAGGACGGTTTACCTCATCTTATTTATGCCATTGAGGACCCGGACTCAGACCATCAGCAGTGCATGGATCGCGCATTTCATGACGTCACCAAGTTTTTCGACATGGCTGACCTTTGACTCAGTTTGATCGTCTTCATCGTGCTCGATCCTGTCTCCCAACCTCCTGTTCCTGTGGTTGATATACACGTGACAAGAAGCTCCTTGAGCCTCACCTGCCACTAGTGTATCTTGACCCTGATGGAGTGCTTCGCTGTGTGATGCCTCCGGTTGTGGATTGGCCGAAGCTTCGCGCTGTTCCAGCCGTTCACGGCTATGCTGTGCGTCCTGCTCTTTTCATTCTGCACATGTTTTCGGGGCGTCGACGTGGGCAAGATTGTCATGATTGGCTGGCTGAGCTTGCACCGCTCTACTTCCCTGACTATTTGGCTATCCTTGTCTCCATGGACATGGCTATTCATGGCCTTCTTGGTGACCTTTCTGATGGATCGAGCTATGCACATTTCATGCATCTTGTTGATGGCGGTTTCTTTTGCTCGGGGCTCACTAGGCCTCCGTGCGAAACCTGGACTGCCGCACGGCACCTTGCCTGTGACGAAACCCGCAGCCGAGCTCCGCGACCATTAAGGTCTCATGACCTTCCGTGCGGGCTCCCGGGTCTGTCCCAACGAGAGCTTGCACAGGTTGGTATGGGCACTCATTTGATACTCAACAGCTTCAACATCGAGGTACATATTGTTCTGGCAGGCCGCGATGGAGCATCCGGCGATGCCTTCTGATAGATTTCCGTCCTCTGGCGAACACCACTGCATCGATCATTGCTCATGCGAGCACCGTTTGCGCAGCTCGTCTATGTCGAGCATGCAGTGGAGGTATATGGAGCGGACTCTGTGAAACCGACGAGCCTGAGAGGGTTAGGTCTTCCAGGTCGCGCACATCTTACATATATATAACATCAGGTCTCACATCTCTTCAAGGTCATATCCACCAATCTGGTGTACAGAAGGTCCAATGGGAGGATTTCAGCCCGAAGGCACGAGAGTGGGTTTGTGAACTTATCGAGGCGAGCAAATCGCATTTTCCTGATTATCAAATCGCATTTGCCAGTTGGAGTATGAACGTCGCGAATGCACAGCATGTCCGCACAGTCTCCGACTATTAGCGGTTGAATGAAAATAAATGAATATGTATGTCTATACAAGATATTGCCCCACAGTTTGCTTGCGTAACTTGCTCGCTAACTCCAATGACTATATGACACATAATAAAAGCCAATGGATGTTAAATGGGGTTATAAACCAACTTTTAAGTGGGCACTGAATTGTATCTAATTAGTGGATTGATGACGGTCCCCCATGAGGTTACATAATCCATCAACCATGACACGCTTGGGGTAGTCTCAAAATGGGCCCCGGAAATCCCGAAGCCCTGCGACGAGCCAAGCCGAGGTGGACAATTTTGTCTATGAGGACTGCAACACGTGCCTCGCTCAAACATGGCAACCGGAGATCCGAGATTCCCATGTGCAATGAGGAAACCATCCATGGATTACCATAAATAAACAGATTTAATTTGGATCCTGTCCATTGCGAAGCTGGATTACCTGGGGGTACCTATAGCTGAAGGCGCTGCGTAGTGTCGTTTGAAACTGGCACCAGTCACAGAATAACATGTTAAATTAAACCACACTTCCAACGCTGATGTGCCCTACTTTGAGCCACAGAAACTCAAGTGCAAGAAGGGTTTTTTCAAAGCATTACATGGTTTCCTGGATGACTTTGATCACGACCTCACGTCGCGACGTCGCTGGAATGATGGTAAGAAATTTTTGGGGAATCATCCCCAAATGACCGATTTTTTTGGTTTCTGCGAATTGTTTTTTAATATGTCCATTAATATTCCAACATATTCCAACAATCTTCCAACACTATTCCAAACAATTTTCCAAACAATTTCCTAATATCGTTTAGAGTTAGGTAGTATCCCAATAATATCCCATTAATATCCCATAATTGAAGTTCGTATCATGTTTCTTTGGCGGAACCCAAGGACCTACATCCAGGACGATGAGATCAAGAACAGGCAGGGCGCTGTGTGTGGTCCAGGGATGCCCTGAGGAAAATCATCCAGAGTCTCCTAGGTCATGGGGGTACCCCCAATCATCATCCATTTATGGATGGATTTTCCATGAAATAAACCATCCAGCTATTGGGGTATCCCGGTATCCGCATTTATGGACACCTCCATTTATTGATGTGTATATGTATGTATATGTGGGTAAAACAATGTCATAAACCACCAATGACTGGATAAACATGGTGGTTTGGGGGATGGTTTATATATACACAGTATATGTATGTACATGGGGTTACTGAAACTGTGAATTCCATGAAATACTGGTTTCTGTGAGAAAGGAGTTCCCATAATAGGAATTCACATAATATACGAATGGATGATGAGAATCTCCAATACGTAAAGGGTTCTAGAAGTAGCAAGAGAAAGGAATGATGACCATCCAAAATTTTGATATATATTGTTTTTTTACATAGGCAGTGATTTACACGTGTTCCACCCAGTGACTTAATAATGTATTATATTATATCATATTATTTTATATTTTATATTTAATAGATATAAATAATATTCATATGTGTGTTTTTTGTCTTTACTCCACAATTTGTTCATCATTCCAATGCAGCTGTCCAGGATGCTGGAAGCGAACCCAGATGCCCTTCGAGACATGGTGCGAAAGCTTCACGGGCTGAGGGGCTGAGGCTTAATCTATAGCAGCCCCTAACCCCTAAGAATAGGATTCCAACAGGGAAAAATATTTAATAGAGATTCAATATTCAATAGGGGTTTAATATGATTTTTTTGGGGATTTAGCAGCAATTTAGTATACGGGTCAACTGGGCCTAGCCCAAAGCATCTCAAGAGATGAATAGAGCAATTAAGACAACGTGGTAAAGCCAATAGTAAACCATCCCAGTAACCAAAAAGGATCCAGTTCCCCATTCACCAAACCACCTCCAACCCATTTCCAATGAAATTTTCCAGGTTTTGGGACTCTCAAATCCACTTCGATGGGCCATGGACTTGGTTAACTAGTTAGTAAATGGATCAAAATTATGGGATTGTCCCAAAATTATATCCAAAATACAAAATTATATCCAAAATTATCCCAATGATCATAAATCCCATTGGACATCCCATTTTTCCTAATCCAGTAGCCATGGCCCATGGAATGCCATGCTCATCCCATGATCCATATGGCCGATCTTAGGGCCTCCGCCAGGTGCAGACTTTCTTGGAAGCCAACGCCAAGGGCTACTGGGACACTGATGAGGCGGCACCTGGCGCTGACCGTTGGTAGTAAGAAAACAACGACTTGAAACAACGAGCCTCTGGAGATTTAACCAAAAGACACATAAATCATCAATTGTCATATGGACATCATCATAAATCATCATGCATCATCATAATTAGCGAAGTGGAAAATCAACATTTTCAGATGGATAAAACATCATTAAATCATCTCTAGATGAGCAATGTTCAATAGCAATGCTAAATAACCAGAGGGGTATATATACTTATTCTGGGGTAGATTGAGTAGATAGAATAGAACATGGAAATTTCAAGGATTCCTAACAAAAGGAATATGTTTGAAACATGCACATTCTGTCTACTCCAGGATACCTATATATGAACAAGATCACCCTTTGTAACTGGACCAGAAGATCAGTTAATTAGATTGTTTTGATTTTTTTCGCCTTCTAGCAACTGATATTATCCAACTACCCAAGAAGTTTTGTGGGAAATGATGAACCGCGGTCCCTTTTAGGTTTGAGGATGTTTTTTTTTCGGCAGCTAAGCTAGGTATCATTTGCAACCGTTATCGAATCTGACTTATAAAATTAATAAATCTTCCCAAAAGAACTCCAAAAGAAAGTGAGAGGTAAGATTTTGCCTCAGATTCCTCTCTTGGTCCTGGATGCTGCAACAGGAGAATCTACAGAAGCTGCGGGACGTTTACCAGGACCGGAATTGAAGGCACAGAGCCTGTACCACGTCATCCATGTTTGGTCATTTGCATATAGTTGACTCTTCAGTGCTGGTATAATGAATATATATATATAGATAGATAGATAGATAGATAGATATAGATAGATTTAATTAGATATAGATATAGATAGACATAACTATATATATAGTATACAATATGTATATATATACATGTACGCATATTATATATATATACACACAAACATGCATGCATACATACATACAAACAAACAAGCATACAGACACACATACATACATACAGACAGACAGACGGACGGACGGACAGACCGACAGACATACAGACATACATACATGCAAACATACAGACATACAGACATACAGACATACAGACAGGCAGACAGGCAGACAGGCAGGGCAGACAGGCAGACAGGCAGACAGGCAGACAGGCAGACAGGCAGACAGGCAGACAGGCAGACAGGCATGGAGACATACAGACATACAGACATACAGACATACAGACACACAGACACACAGACACACAGACACACAGACACACAGACATACAGACACATACATACTACATACATGCATGCATACATCCATCCATCCATGCATACATACATACATACAGACGTACAGACGTACAGACGTACAGACGTACAGACATACAGACATACAGACATACAGACATACAGACATAGAGACATACAGACATACAGGCATACAGGCATACAGACATACAGACATACAGACATACACACATACACACATACACACATAGATACATAGAAACATAGATACATAGATACATAGATACATAGATAGATACATACACACAAACAAACAAACAAACAAACAAGCATACAGACACACACACATACATACATACAGACAGACAGACAGACGGACGGACAGACAGACAGACATACATACAGACATACAGACAGGCAGGGCAGACAGGCAGGGCAGACAGGCAGGGCAGACAGGCAGGGCAGACAGGCAGGGCAGACAGGCAGACAGGCAGACAGGCAGACAGGCAGACAGGCAGACAGGCAGACAGGCAGACAGGCAGACAGGCAGACAGGCATACAGGCATACAGGCATACAGGCATACAGGCATACAGGCATACAGGCATACAGGCATACAGACATACAGACATACAGACATACACACATACACACATACAGACAGACAGACAGACATACATACATACTGTATAGATCATATTATCTATAATATATATATATATATATCACTTGTTCATCAAAATCACTCATGACTCCAAACTGTCGTACCATGTAGCTATGAATAGATCAAACCATGGCCACTGGTGAGGAGTGCGAAGACCGCATCGAGGGAGTGGACTTTGCTGCGTAAGCTTCAGGCGTCCGTCCCGGTGGCCTGGACTGAGAGACCCATTTATGCCAAGCCTAAAGCATGGCTTATTAGAGCTGGTACCGAATATGAACATGGTGATTGTGATTTAGTTTAATATCACTGTTTGGTTGAACATATCACGTTTTAGCCTATTGAATAGGGGTAGCCTCCAAATCGTGTTTTTATTTGATAGTTCAATGCTCCCCCAAAAAAAAATACGAGAGGTTTATCAATCCTGGATTGACATTGTAGGACTTTTGGGTAGGGCAAATCTTAATCACCAACCACATGTGTAAAAGGGGTGTAACTGTACAAGCATGATTAAACCAACCATATGTTGATGTAGATTTTATGGGAATATAGTATATAACCAGCAATGTGATAGGTGGGTATGGGGGGTTGGGTGTTGTAAGGGCAACCTAATGATTCGAAATGTGTAAACCTAGCCAACTATTTTTTGAACACATTTTTTGATATACTAACTAATGGTGAATGATGGCAAACCAACATAAACCAACCATTAAATGTATTGTTATTTCTATCACGGGGATACTTGATCGGGATTATGGTACAAGGCCAACCGTTTATGGTTATTTTTATACTGGATATATTTGATGGTATTAATACAACCAATTTGATAGGACAGTTAGTTTTGTCCAAAAGCGTTGAATGTGAACCCCAACTGATGTGGCTATGAAGTGATGGGGGAAGTGATGGGCCCATGGGCTGTGGCCTTAATTCCCTACAACTGGAAGACCCACTCCAGACCAACATCTAAGATTGCGGATTAGCCATGATTGGGGCCCCTAGAAAGCAACATGTTTTTCTTTCTCAGGCAAACTAAGGATTGTCATGGATGTGTATATATACAATTAATTACAATTATATATATATATACACTATATATATATATATACATACTGTAATTGTATTAATATTATCATAATGATATTGTTCATGATCTTCTGTATGAACGGGTTCATACAGAAAAAAAACATACAACTACCTTGGCGTTCAAGGGGATCTCCAATTGGGGAAACTATCGAGATGTCAGATCCGGGGTATCCTGCCTTGATCCGCAGTTGAGGTCCTGGCCCTCCAGATGTTTGTTACTTCACAGGTTGAGGCGCCTCATCCTTAGATTCGCTTAGTCCGTTTGACTGCTCTGGGACTGATGAAAAAAGATTTCTTGACCCCAGGTTTCCGCAGTCATTTGTAGAAAAAAAACGAAGAAGTAATTTAAAAAAAACATCAGGGTCCGAAATATGTGACCTTGAGCCTTTCTCCTTTGTCCACTCTGCTCTGGCGTCCGGGGCACTGTGCAACAATGGTTGCTGGATTTGGCTCCTGCGTGCTGGCGTAGGCCATATGGGGCTGGTGGCATCGGAACCCGCAAAAGCCATGGCAGCTGCAAACCAAAGACACAAAAGCTGAAGTTATGCTGAAGTTTTTTTTGGAGCATTCCCCCATTGGTTGATCCACTGGGAAATCTATATGTTTGTCCCATCCCCCTGGTCTATTTCCAATCTCCAAGCCTTTCAAGTGAGGGGAGTCACATGTCCCAAATGTTGAAATGTGGAAGTGACATAGATAAGAAAACATAGTGTGTAATACTGCACAATAGTGTATAGTGTATATACATAGTTGTACGATAGATGCAATGAAGTGAAGGCTAGGGGCCACTGAATCTGTCCAATTTCCGGATTCCGATGCTAGCACAAAATCGGTAAGCCTGGTGCACTACTTTTTGACTCGCCGGCATGCTGTTTCCCGCTTGCCGCAAAAAAAACAGAAGTATGGCACATGTGTTTAAAAATTACAATATATCAGCCACATGTTTTCTGCACGATGAATATTACCTAATTACAGAGTTGAGAAATCCATATGTTTTTTTCATTTTCCCTCCTTGATTGCTTGACTTGGCCGCTGTTCCAAGACTGCGGCCACTTTTAAGGATTGATCAAATGTTCTTGATCATTGGCAAGTGCTTGATTCGCCCAGCCGATGACTGATCATGTCGCACCGCTCTTTTGAAAGAGCCGTTGAGTTTATGCAAGTGCAGCGACACCATCCGCGGCACCAAACAAACGGAGCAGTAGCTGCCGGAGGGGTTGTTGAGGTTGTTTCTTGATAAGGATCGGATACTAGTACTACTAGTACAAGAAAAACATATTGCCGTGTCAAGTTGGGAAACATCAGCCTCTTTGACATGTTGTTTTTCTTATATGTGGCACCTTTGACACTTTGTAGATCTTTGGTGGTAGCCCTGGTGCTTCGCAGCGCTGCGAACCTCTTATGGTCTTGGAGAAACAAGAGCAAGATCACTGGTTGCAGATGGCCGGAAAACTCTTACTCAAGCAAGGATGATCATATATACACGATATTACACGATATTGATAATGTTGGATGCATGATTCTTTGCCTATTCGGTCTTCTAACATGACATGTTCCAACTGTTGAATCAATATGTGAAGAACTCTTCAGTCTTCAAGTAAAAGTCATGTCAGCAAGACAGGTCAAGTGCATCTAGAAGCATGATCATATCATGCATTCCTTGTTCCAGAAATCCCTTCAAGTCCGCCACCAAGTTTTACTTGTGATGCTAGTATTGATCTGAGCAGCAGAAGATCCTGTGTGACGGTTGGTGAACAGGGATTCTCATTTCATGGTTTATGATCGTTTAATTGTATGTATCTATATATATATATATAAGTCATATATTAGGTACTGTGGAATCAATATATTGGGTTGTATAAAGCGATATTTTACTGCTCATGTTCCACAACAAAATCCGCTAAGTTGTTCAAGTGCACTACGGGGCCAGCCATGAAGCATGGCAGCGTTTACTTTGGTGGCCTATCGCGTGGTGACACGCCTCCCAAAGAGATCCCCACACTGGGAGCCGCTGGTGGGAGACCGAAGCTGTCTGAGATGACAATGATCCCCAGCACAACGTCGGGAAGGGAATGATAAACCAGCCATGACTGGGAATGATTTATACCACCTGTAAACATGCTGATGACTGGGAGATGGTTTAATGATTGTTTTGCCAACACTTGGATTTGGTATCTTTATCTTGGAGTTTGAATTCAGATCACATGCAAAACTATTTGTTTTGGAGTACATGTATCATGTATCCCTTTGTTTGTTGTATATCTGAGAAAAATGGGACATTTCCCAACCCCTGTCTTAGATGACTTAAGTGTTTTGCTGAACATGATTTTTACTTTTCCATGGGGATATCCAACAGAAATGGAAGTTTGTTGGAAATATGTTGTATTGGTATGTATTAGTTGTATTCAGTTGTATTCTTGATTATCCCCTTAAGCAAATCCAAGTATATAAAAAAATACCCCATAAATGTGTCCATAGATGTGTAAAACTGCTACTATTTTTTTTTCAATAGATACCCTCTGGTAAACTAACATAACTATGGAAAGATCCACCATTTTTAATGGGTAAAACTCACTATAAATGGCCATTTTCAATAGCTATGTTAGTCATTACCAGAGGGTAGAATGATGACAAGCCTTAAGATCAACCATTGAAACCATCGGATGCTGATTCAGTGGACGATAGTGGCCACAGCTGGGGTGAGTCAGAGGGACCATCGTGAAATGGAACATGTGGACCATAGCAGAACTACCCTCTGGTTATGTCAAAATAGCTATTGAAAATTGCCATTTATAGTGGATTTTCCCATTAAATATGGTGATTTTCCATAGTTATGTTAGTTTACCAGAGGGTACCCTCCGGTGTCATCAAACACAGCATTTATGGAACAAATCATCCCCCTCCTTAGATGGTTTTCTCAGCTATAAACGTCCATGATACGCCCATTTGTAGAGTACTTTCCATTGCCACGTTTGATTACCGGAGGGTACCAGTTATTTTGGTGTGAAAACCAGGGTGCTAGGGTGTGACTTGAGACTCATGACTCATTACTCAAGTTTTGCGAGACCTTGAGAGTTTTTTGTCGTGAAAAACATTGAATAATCAAAAGAGTCCAACGGTTTCTACTGCCCAGATGTTGTGAGACTTGCAAACTCAAGAATGAAGGAACCCTGAGCTGCTAGTGGTGAGTCATAAATCATGTATATAAATCATGGGTCAAGAAACTTTGGGAATGTTTGAACCAGTACAGAATCTATTTCGGAAAGGTCAAGCAATCCACACACACAGTCTGAGGAAAGAGATGGAGAAGGGCTGTCCGTATGCCAGAGATGAATATTCCAGGTACCTGTGGCAATGGAATAGATCGGTTGTGAGAAAACTAAGTGAGTCCCACATGTTTAGAAGATAAAACTTTAAAACCATATATGGAGGTTTCCTAAAAATGGGGTTACCCCCAAATCTTTCCATGAAATAGACCATCCAGCTATTGGGGTATCTTCATTTATGGACACCTCCCATTCATATATATCTGGTTGGTGGTTTCAAACAGTCTTTATTTTTCCATATATTGGGAATAATCATCCCAACTGACTAATATTTTTCAGAGGGGTTGAAACCACCAACCAGATATACATATATATTTATATATTAGATAAAGCTACGGAAAGCTATGGAAAGGTCATATAGGTCTGCCTGCAACTTGGAGGATCAGGCCACGGGACGGACATTGATCTGCCTTTTTACGAAGATGGGGTGTTCATACATATGGGTACCCCCAAAAATGGATTGTTTATAATATATGGAAAAGCCTATTAACATGATTTTAACCATCTCAGATTTATTGGGTACCATATTCACCATCCATTTTTTCCACAGTAACCCATTAACCATCATTTTAATCCATAATATGGATGATTTGGGGGTACCCCCACTTTAATCGAGGAAACTTCCCTTCAGGTGTCCTGCCCGACATGAAGGAATGACGCTGGAGCCTCGGCACTGCATTTGAGCATTATTGGATGGAGATTTGTATCCCAACATCACCAGAAGTCACACTAGACATCTTGGATGGAAATCCCATATACGTGCCAATCATCATCCAATATTTCTATCCAATATTTTGGTGATCATCATGATCTTGGATGGATATTTGTATCATTTTGTATCCCAAAATACTCCAATCAAATTGGCACATCTGTCTGTGGTACTCAATTTTTTTTGTTCACCCCGAGCTGTGAACATCGGCCGAAAAAGGCTTAGATTTAACTGATGACAAGCCAGACGGTTGAACCAAAACTCCAAAAAGAGTTTTTTTTGGTTTCATAGTGTTTTGATGTGTTTTGTAATGTCCATTCGGGTTTGTTTGAACATTTATGGGAAACCCATGGAACGCCCCCGAATTTGATGGCTGAACATGGCTTTTTTCATTTTACGTAGCCGGTTGGATAGTTTTCCCAAATGCGGGTGGATTTTACCTGAAACCAGCTCCGAATTGGTTATTTTGTGTCCCAAGATATGTTTTCTTGCCATATGGGTCTGAAAATGGTGGTCTGAAAATGGGGTATACACCTCCCACAACAATAGGGACAATTATGATTGACCAGTAGACTTAGGGTTTTCCCCCTAAATTGTCAGACGCACACACACACACACGCATTCTTGTCACATGTTTGAAATCGTCACTAAGATATCAGGTATTTGGCCCAGCATATCGCATGCTGACATGACCATTGCTGAGGATGTGATCAAGAAATCAGATGTGCCACCTGGCCCTTTGCGGTTCCACAAGGACGCAACTGAGGTGGATGAAACTAGCGCATTAAATCAGGTTCTTGATATACACACGGAATCTATGATATGCCAATATGTTGTAATCAGTGCTCACAACGTTGTGTATCTTTAACATGCTTAAAACACAATCAAGTTGTTATATAGTTATATGTATATGAAATGTTACCATGTATTGTGTTGATTTGTGATTTATATTGGTTGAAGCCAAATGCAGATTAAGGCACAAGGGCGCTTTCCCGTGACAATGTGACCTGAGGGTACCACCAATCCCATTTGTGTCCATGTCTACCGTCTACCATACTTATTCTTTGAAGCGCCACTGGTGTTGTTGTGGATGTTGATATTGATATTGCTGTTGCTGTTGCTGTTGTTGTTGTTGTTGTATTTGTAGTTGTCTATCTACCTAATCTATCCATCTATACATCTATCTATCAATCTATCTATCTATCTACCTATCTATCTACCTATCTTATCTACCTACCTATCTTATCTATCTACCTATTTACCTATCTACCTATCTACCTATCTACCTATCTACCTATCTACCTATCTACCTATCTACCTATCTATCTATCTATATATATATAATCTATCTAATCTATCTAATCTATCTAATCTATCTAATCTATCTAATCTATCTATCTATCTATCTATCTATGTATCTATCTATCTACCTATCTATCTATCTATCTATCGATCTATCTATCTATCTATCTATTGTTTCTATTTATTTATCTATCTATCTACCTATCTAAATCTAATCTAATCTAATCTAATCGAATCTAATCAAATCAAATCTAATCTAATCTAATCTATCTATATATCTATCTATCTAATCTATCTATCTAATCTATCTATCTAATCTAATCTAATCTATTCTATTCTAATCTAATCTAATCTACTCTAGTCTAATCTAATCTAATCTTATCTTATCTGTCTATCTATCTAATCTATCCTATCTATCCTATCTATCCTATCTATCCTATCTATCCTATCTATCCTATCTATCCTATCTATCCTATCTATCCTATCTATCCTATCTATCCTATCCTATCCTATCTATCTATCCTATCTATCCTATCTATCCTATCTATCCTATCTATCCTATCTATCCTTTCTATCCTATCTATCCTATCTATCTAATCTATCTAATCTATCTAATCTATCTAATCTATCTATTCTATCTAATCTATCTAATCTTTCTAATCTTTCTAATCTATCTAATCTATCTATCTATCGATCTATCGATCTATCCATCTATCTATCTATCGATCTATCCAGCTATCTATCTATCTATTTATCTATCTATCTATCTATCTATCTATCTTATCTTATCTTATCTTATCTTATCTTACTATCTATCTATCTATCTATCTATCTATCTATCTATTTATCTATCTATCTATCTGATCGATCTATCTATCTATCTATCTGATCTATCTATCTATCTACCTATCTATCTATCTACCTATCTATCTATCTATCTATCTATCTTATCTTACTATCTATCTATCCTTCTATCTATCTATCTATCTACCTATCTATCTATCTATCTATCTATCTATCTATCTATCTGATCTATCTATCTATCTGATCTATCTATCTACCTATCTATCTATCTACCTATCTATCTATCTATCTATCTATCTATCTATCTATCTATCTATCTATCTATCTATCTGTTGTTGTTGTACCCATGCAGCCTCTCCCGTTGGTGCAGGACTATGATCGTTCCTTGCTGACGGAGGACTTGGATCGTGCGCAGCCGTTGCTGTCCCATCCCACCAGCCACACAGGCGCTCCAATCCCCTGGAAGGACATCCGGAGGGAAGAGCCTGAAACTTGGCGACTGACCTGGTTGATAGGGGAGTTAGTTTACTATATATTATTATATATGGATATATATGGATATATATATATATATACATATACATATATATACGTATATATAATGATATATATATATATATATTATATATATATACATGATATATGGATTATGAATGATATATTATAAATATGGGAGATTGATTCAGCGGTTTACAATCCAGCTAGTCCAGTTAGCAACCAGGAATCTTATTTCTCCCATGGCCCATCTAAGTGGTAGTTCATAGTTAACCATGGTTAAACCATGGTTAAATCTGGATCAAACTTAAACATCGGCTGTTGACTTTGACTCTCAACGTGCTCTGGATTCTGCCTGAATATGAAGAAACATCAGACTGAATAATTGGCCAAAAGGCGACGGATGCCGAGGAAGAGGTTCCAAAGAGTCGTTCCAAAGAGCTGTATCCGCCCATCAAGCAGAAGCGGAGGCCGCAGGACATGTCCTTGCGACGCTTGGAGAAAGATCTGAGAGGTGTTTATCTTAGCCTGTAAACACATGATATAAAATGGAACATGAACCTGTCGGATATTCATGCATTGTTCATGTCCATTTTGCGCAATTTCAAACGGTTTTGAACGGAGTCCGCTTCAGCCTTGTTTGATTTCCATGTGTTTGAATGACTAGTGAGAGTCTGCTCCAGGAGAGATTTGAGGCCTGCAGAATCCTGCAGATCCCTTACCCCCTGGTAATGACGAACATAGCTATTGAAAATGGCCATTTATAGTGGGTTTTCCCATTGAAAATGGTGATTTTCCATAGTTATGTTAGTTTACCAGAGGGTAAGTTTATTAGTCTATCATAGTCTGATCATTGTATTTTCGAGAACACTTTGAGGACTGGTTCACACCTTAGGATTGGGCATGGATTGGGCGGTCAATCTGGGACATCTGGGAATCCCACGTCCAGGAACCTCCGACATCGACTATGCGCAACCCAAAAAGCCCATCGTCCGTGAGCGTCGGCGCTCCAATTGCATCGTGGACCTTCTGACGCAGAGTTCCTCGGCAGACCATGCCGGGTCATGGTGAATCGCTACGTTTGGAGGGTTTGGTGTAATGCTAAAATGGTCTATACAATTTGGATGATTTGAGGCTAACCCCCATTTTAGGAAACATATGTTTCAAACTCAGCTGGGCTTGTGAGAGACCATAAATGGATCATACCCTGAGGTACTCAACATGATTCAACTGAGGAGGAATCATTTTCTTTACCAACAAAGACGTAGATGAAGCCAGCCAACTGTTGGCACCTCAACTTTCGTTGGCCAGTGGATTCCATTTTTCAACTTTCGATCTCGACCAAGTATCCTGATTTTCATTGCCAACAATGGGGTATGGGTGGCTTTATAAACATGTTTTCCCCCCAAGTGCTTCTTGTTGAGTCTTGTTGAACGGAGCCATGTTGAAGTGTTTTTGTTGCTGGTTGGTGGTTTGGAACATGTTTTATTTTCCACAATATATGGGATAATCCTTCCCAACTGACTAATATTTTTCAGAGGGGTTGGTATACCACCAACCAGTTTGTTTATAGCGTCCCAGATGTACCAAACATCCAACCCCCATTCAAACAAGCCATTTGGCTGCAGCAATGACTTTGGGCAAGTCATAGGGGATGAATGTCCCGGTTTGATGGTTGAATCCCATGAAATACTGTATATCGATCCATTGATACTATTTGTGATTACTTATGGAATCTTATGGATATATGATATATGGTAGTTGCAGTATTTGGGTGAGTTGTCTTTATTAATCCCCATTTGATGGTTGCTATCTCCCATAAAGGCAACTGCTGAAGAATAAACTCACATCCACCCTTTCCTGAACCATTTTTGAATCATAAGTCATAAGTTCATAATTGTGATTGTTAATATACCTGAAACATGATTTATATACAGATTTTGGCATGTTGATGGTCAAAGCCCACAATGATCTGGGGGATTTTTTTAGGACCTCACTGCGATCTCACTGGAATGGTGGTTAGGATTGGGGGTAGCTATCCCCAAATGCCTTATTTCAGTTACCCAGAATAATGGCTATTTGTGATTTGACTCTAGTCACTTTGACATCAAAACTGGTGCAAGAAAGGGTTGTATCGTGGGACATGTGATTAATGCACAATTATTAATCATTATGTCTTGCTATTTTTACATGATTAAACCGTGAAATTTCCTCACAAACACAGAGAAGCCACCCAAATTATGTAATTGTCAATGTATGTAATTGTTGATACAGGGAGCAAGTGAGCTATTTGCCTAATAGAATAACAATAAATAATTGATCTTGTTGAATTTGAATGATCTCATGATCTCATATTACAAAATACAATTATATGTTCATTGTATAGGTACCAGTAATGCATTTTTGCCACCCATGGGATTATCCATTGTTTTGACAATCCCATTTATATTACAAGTTATCATTCGAAAATATAAATACAGTGATAGTATTATATTAAGGATGATATAAATATGAGATTGCAAATAACATTTATTTAAATCCCGCAATATAAGTACCATGATCATCAATAATATGTACATATGGCGGTATATGTATGGGATTTTGATTATTATCATCCATATATATATATATATATTACTATATTATACTATGTTATACTATATTATACTATATTATACTATGTTATACTATATTAGAATATATTATACACTAGTTTATACTTTATTATACTATATTGTACTATATTATACTATATTATACACTATATTATACTGTATTATACTATATTATACCATACTGTATTATATTTGTTCTATATTGTATTGTATTATATTATATTATATTATATTATATATTATTCTATTATATTATATTGTATTATATGGGGACCGGGGAACAACATCCATAATTATTGATGATTATCATCCATACATACAATTAATACCATCAATCATCATCCATATACACCGTTAACTATTGATTAGATATATATATATATATCTATATAATGTATATATTGATAAATACACTTACATAATTATCCCCCACAAATTATCATATCAACATACCATTAAAATGGGATTTTCTTCCCCAAATAGGAGACATCTGGCCGCGGCGGAGGCTATCAGTTCACCTCTTCGGAAGTTCCTCCGCAGCCGGTCTTTCGGTCCTCGGGCCGGTCCACCATGGCACCCTGGCGCTGATGGCACCATGGGAAATGGCACCATGTAGCCTCTGGTAATTGATGGTATTTAATGGAAGTAATGGTGATTTAATGGTGATTTAATGGGATTTCATGGTGATTTAATGGATTTACCACCTGGTAATGACTAACATAGCTATTGAACATGACCATAGAAATAGTGGATTTTCCCATTAATCATGGTGATTTTCCATATAGTTATGTGGCAGTTTACCAGGGGGTAATCATCAAGAAATGTGGAATTACTGGAATTTTATGGGATATGAATCGGATATGACTAACCAGCTATTGAGTCATCAAACATGGTGAAAACCGGAAAATCCCCGCACTAGCCGTGGAGGTGTAAAGCTGGGAACATCAAATATACATGGTGGATGTTCCATTGCGATGTTGGATTACCAGAGGGTAAGCGACGCAATTGTTACCCTCTGCGAATTTAACAGCGTGCTATTGGAAAATGGCCATTGAGTCTGTTGATTTAGCCATAAAAAATTGTGATTTTCCATAGTTATGTTAGTTTACCAGAGGGTACCACCAATTGTTGAGTCTGTTTGCCCATAAACCTCGGTAAATTATAACGACCTCATGTCGTGCCCGCATTGTTGGAATGATGGTTGATATAGGGAAGCATCCGAAAATCACCTTATCTATCCTTATTTCAGATTAGTGAATTAATATATGTTATCCAGATAGATGAGTTTGGGCTATCGATCTATCGGCGCATTTTCAGACAATCCCTCCTATGCTGTCGTCATGCAGCCGGGGGGAAAGCGGGGACCCATTTGTTCAGGATGAGATGAAGTTGAGAATCCACAAACATGGGGACATGATCGGAACAAAGTGGATAGAATCCATATGGGTTGTCTTAAAATGGTGAGCCTCCAAAACGGCTATGTTTTACTGTAACCCTAAACTATTGGAATTTGAGGTATCCAATTGGAAGACTTCTCCATATGTATCCAACTGCAACTGGGTGATTTAGGCACAATTGCGACACTTTGTTTGGTAGTTCACATATGAATTTGTTTAGATGTGTCATGACTCACTTGTAATTTGTAATTATGCTATGTAGTACCTTGAGATTACATAACACACAATAAGGTTGAGTGCAATGAATTTTACCATTGGATATTTTTCCATCTATATCTATATCTAGTGCCTTATTACCATTATGGTAAAATCACCATCTAAATTACCATATGGAAAATCACTTGTTATTTTTTCTGCCTGGGTATAGTGATTCTTCATAGGGACCATTGCTAGGAGATGTTTTCTTCTCGTATCAACTCGTGATCGAAGTTCGGGGAGGTCCATGTCCAACAAGAACAGGCCCAGTTGTCAATGGATTGGGAGGGAAAAAGTACAGTAACCCCCCCAGATTTCATGGGAAAATCCATGGGAAAATCTCCATATCTCATGGGAAAATCTCCATATCTCATGGGAAAATCATGGAACATCTATGGTAGTTTCCGGTTACAATTTCCCCTTTCAGCAACCCATCTGCCAAGTCCTAGGACGCCTCTGACATTGATGGCACGCAGTCACATCCGCTTCCAGCACCGTGGCAGCGATGAGCCCAAGAAGTACCGCTTATAGCAATGGGCTCACAATGACACACACACACACATTTCGTACCAGTTGGTTATATTTGTTTAAACGGATTTTATGTTAACTCTGAACGCGTCTCCAATTTTTGAGGGCCAATGATTTTGAGCGATTGCCATGTTTGTGTGTCAATTCCGGCAATCTTTTGCTGGATGGCTCTCATTGCTAACTCTTTCCCATGCAGGTTCAATCATCAAACTCAGTGGTTCTAGATTCATTTCATGCGGATTGGATAAATTTGCTGAGCTGCTGAAATGCGCTGGGGTGGTTTCGAACTGAACCAAGTCAATAGATCCAATACTAAACCATGGTTTCTACGAGGGAATTTGATAGGATATTAATTTGGATCCCTAAAAAACATGGTTTTTCCTATACCACAATCCTCAAAAACCATGGTCTATTCATATTTAAATCTCCATATTAGGGGGGATAAGGATTTTGTTTCGAGATACGTTTGCTGATCCAGTCAGTGGCCAGAACCACTTTGGATTTGGAGAGCCAAAGAACCGGAAATCTGTTCACAGAAGTTCGGGGCCCTGGGAAAAGCCAGTGGTACCCTTGGGTGTTGGGTGTGTCTTAAGGGGTCGACCCACCAGGTATGGTGCTTCTTCTAGGAAAATGAAATATGAGAAGAAACCAGAAGCCAGAGGAATTTTTGGGTGCCTTTTTTGTAAGACAAACTTGGAAGAGAACATATATGAACATATATTGCATGTTGGCCAAGCTGCTTTGGTCCACTATGTGATAAATCATGACAAATGAAGCGCAGCAACATCGAAACATAATCCTTTTCCCCTAACATGATATTCCGTTCCTCCTAACACTTTGTATATGAAGTACCCCCAGAAACCCTTGTGGATCGGATGTTATGGGATAAAATCACAATAAACATATTTGAGACCATCGAATGAGAATGTTTAATATTGGGCGTTGGAATCAGGGGACCACCATCTTCCACTCACCGGCCCCTATGACACTATGAGGGCTACATTTAATCATCATATCTTGGTGGAAGATGATCCATATTCTGATGATGATTTCCAACATGTTTTTCTGTATGTTTTTTTTTCTTTTCAGAGTTTCATCATATTTCATCACCCAGGCGTACAGCGTGGATGGAAACCCCTTGAAGTTGGAAGACGAGTTCCGCAACCCGCGCCACTCGGCGGTCCTGGCCGCGGCCAAAGCCAGCCTGGTGCCGGCCACGCCGCGCTGCGACGACGGCATGTCCGTGGCGGAGCCAACGCCGCGACGCACTGATGGGCAGCCCGTCACGCATCGGCTAGGACAGATGTGGCCAGATGATCCTAAGTCATGGGGGATCCCCAATAGCATCAATGGCTGGATGGTTTATTTTATGGAAAATCCGATTAAATATAGATGAGAACTGGGGGTACCCCCCATTTTATGAAACTTCCAGGTGGAGAAGAGGTTTGACATGCAGCTTTGATCACTAGTTGGGTGACAAAATTGTGATTTAATGTGATATATTAATGAGATATGATGGTGATGTTTGATATCATCTAGGAATATCCACGTGTTTATGATTATGTACAGTAATTATTACGTTCATGATAATCCAGTTGTGATCCATTATAATCTGGCCAGTAGTTGTAAATTATCTATAATTACAAAATAATAATGTATATATTAATATATATATATAATTATATATATATATATTCCCATTATTACGAACTAAATATCTCACGTTTCTTCCCCCGACTTCCTCAAATGTTTCCGCCAGGACAGCCTTTGAGCCCCCGCTATCACCTCCCCGTGGCTGACGGCGGCCCCACCTCCCTGCACTGCCGCTACCAATGCGAGCGGCGAGAGATGGGCGATGCACCGCCCCGGACGCGCTGTGAAGAGGCCCCAAAACGGATTCATCAGCAATAAATGGTGGCTGAATGTTGATGGTGTTTAATGGTGACTCAATGGTGATTTAATGGTGTTTAATGGTGTTCAATAGGATTTAATGGTGACCGACTGGTAATTTATGATGATGATTGGAGGAAACCTCTGTATCCGTATGCCATGTTTGACTTGTTCAACAGAAAATTGATGCAAATTCTAGGAACTAAACTGCATTCTAGTTCTGAACATGCCATGTTTGAATCTGGTTTTGCTGGTTTTTTCTGATATCAAGGATATCTTTCTGGGTTGTGGCATGTTGTGGCCAATTCGGAGCCAAAAAGGTGGGCTACATTGACCGGAGCAAGCCTCAGACGCAGATTCGAGCCTTGCGACCATGTGCGACCAAAACGCGACGTGATAATCGTGATACAACTGATCACTATACCCCCAAATGAACGGTTTATACATGGAACATCCTATGAACATGGATGATTTGGGGGTACCCCCATTTTTAAACCTCCATGTAGCAATCCCAAAAAAGATAGGAAAAGATGGAGAAAATAAAGCATCAATCCCACTACTTTTCTATCTTCTAGGAGGTTACTATAAGAAACAACACTAATAATAACAGTAGTCATGGATGGTCACGGTGATTTAGCCATCCGGAGCAAGTCAGACTTGAGCAACCCCAAGATTGGTTTGTGGGAGATTAGTCCAACCAATCTATAGCACTGGTGCGGGTGCAGAGTTTTGCCGGGCTGCCATCCCAGAAATCACTCAAAAAGCAACTGGTTTGTTTCGGAAAATCCTCTATCCCCCACATAGACCCTGCGAAATAGGGGGTTGGAAGGCTACGAAAGTATTTGTGGATGTGCTATATATGTAGGTTTGGGGGATTGTACAAGACCCGCCAGCATCTACGGGGGAAAACACTTGTTTACTTTCGATGGTTCTTTTTTCTTTTCTGCTCATATTCCCTTCAATTTTATTGTTGCTGTTGCTGCTCAAACCCTCCATGTTGTTGGTTGAATCCCAGTTTTCATTGGGTTAGTCAGCAGGGTTGATGGTTGATAGTTCAATAACATTTTTTCCAGATATATCCATCATGTATTGGTTCAACACTTCAAAACCCCCGGTGTTTTCTGAGGAGACAATGGGGAGGTGCAGTTCAACCTCTACACGGACGACCTGCCCGGAGCAAAGCCCATGCGCCGGGTGGGTGGTTTACCTTACCACCTTTACGGCCCTCCGGGCAACCGGCCACAGAGCCACTTGCTAACATCAAAGATGGTGCAATCTATTCTTATGTGTTGTGGTGTATTGATGTGTATTGTATATTCAAAATATAGTATAATGTAATATAATACAATGTAATTATAATGTAATATAATATAACATAGCATAATATAATAATGTAATGTAACATGATATTATACAATATGAATATAACAAAACACACTATAACATTAATATAATATATAATGTAATATATAATATAATATAACATATTATTTGATATAATATGATGTAATAATATATATATACACATCTTGATTAGGTTCTGGTATGTGATTCGTTTACACGTTGTTGGCTGCATTTGTAGGTCCAATTGAATGCGCCAGAGCTAGGCTTCAGGTTTGGCACCACGGGGTTGGACAAACTCCAACCAACTGGCCTTGAATTATCAATGGTTTTCCTGCTAGTTGCCATCAGTTCCCACTGACCCTCCCTAGGTCACTAACATAGCTATGGAATCTATGGAATCTATGGAACATTGGCATGTACTTCGATGATTGACCTCTTGAACATGGGGATTGTTCACAGATGTTCATAGCAAACATCTCTTCATCGCAGGCGTAGCGCTCAGCGTAGCATGGCGTGTCGCTGAGGCAACTCCTTGCAGAATGCGGACATCGAAGGTGCTCAGGCGGACACCAGGCTCAGAGCTCCGAGAAGAACACCCAGAGCAGTTCCTCAGGCGGGTGTAGAGGTTTTTGTTTGAATGTTCCCTTGAATCATAGAATTGGATGATGGGAAAATTTACAGGAAAGCCCGATCAATTTGATGGTAAAAACCATGGTTTCCGGTTAAGATTTTCCCTTAACCAATCCAATGATTGAACTACAGGCCAACAAATATCAGGTATAATGAACTAGTTACAAATGGGGTGATCATTCCATAAATGGGGTTGTAGCTGGCTGCCAATGACTGGGTTCAAGGGACAGCACAGAATGGGGTTTTGTCTGATAAAAAGGAGTATACCATTGTACCCCATGAAATAATATAGTCTAACATTTCAAACTGGAAATCAAACTGGAAACGCAAGGGAACCTGATGATAAACCAATAATTGTTGAGGGCAGCCTATTTTTAAGACAACCCCATCAATTGGACCTGCAAAGGTGGAAGTTCCAGCAGCTCAACCAGTGGTGGCATGAGGTTGCCTCCAACAAAGGCTCCGGATGACTGGCTCGTTTTGAATGGATGGCTTGACTCATTTGATCACAGCTTGAAAAGGGATGCCAATGGATTCATGTTGACATTATTGTTATCATGGAACACACATGAAGAACACATCACCATGGACCATTTCAGCTGCTAGGTCATTGCAGCCACAATCATGAATCTCCAGAGATGAACTCTGGTTTAGTCTCTCATTGACGATAGCGCGGAAGGACACAGGCTGACTCTTGATACATAGTATCGAATCTATATAGGAGAAACTCATTTTGCACATCTTCCATGTTGGGCCAGAGAGCCTGCAGTCATGCTAAACATCATTGCTTACTAGACCAGAGCCAGAAGTTGCTGAAACACAATATTAACCAACAACATATTGGGGGTGTCTGAAAGTGGAGTATACCCTCCAGTGGCTGTTTGAATGATGATCATGATGATTAACAAATGGATTTAGGGGTACGTTACTATTAGACGCACCCGTATCCGTGTGTTTATGTTTTTCTTGTGTTCACTTCGTGTTTTTTTTGTGTGGAGCAGTGCTCATATCCTTCTCCCTGTCCCAGGCTCACTGCGGAAGTGAAACATGCTTCTGCTCAGTGAATGGTAATGCTGAACGGTTTGCTCTTCAGGGAAAGATCATGGAAGTGAGAAGCCACCTTTTCCAACGGGAAAATCCTGCAAAGACATGCAAGAATCATCGAGAAAGTGGGGGTTCCACTTTCCATGCAACTTACACAGAGAGGGCATATTTCTTGAAGAACACCTTCAAAGTGTTTCACTCGAGGGCAAACGTCCTCTGCGACGAAACAAAAAAGGATTGCTGATTGCTGCCTTCCGCGCTGTTTGGTTAAGGCAACTCAGGAAGTTGTGTCAGCCGACAATCACATTGGCTCATAGATGTTAGATTCTAGATGACTCTAGACATCTATAGACCACATACATAGTATCTGTATAGATGTGTATAATTGTGTATATACATGAATATAGTTGTTTCACAGATTCCACATGTGTCCTGTATAACCACTTTGTCTTGTTGAAGGGTCTTATATCAATAAAGATCAATAACGTATTTTCCTAAATAGGGCTAAATTCCAACTAACCCCCATCAAACAGGGATAATTTATCATACTTCTTAAGGTTAAATCCCAATGCTTTTCCCATGAAACCGCCAAGAAATCCCATGAAATCTCATGAAATCTGCATGATTTCTCCATGACCTTCCCATTTTTTTGGGATTTCCCACATGGTGCGGGGGAAACCGGCGCCTGGCTGCCGGGCTTAGGACCTGGCAGCTGTGTTGGAGGAGAAGGACCTGCTGCGTGGAGGACGTCAGATGCATGGGGTGAACCTGGAGGCACGGTTCCAGGGACGGTGCCAGGGAGGGATTTCGTATTTCTTGGGGTATTTCCATAGGGATTTGATATGGATGTCGTAGGGATTCATCATTTGTTTAAATGGTTTTCATAGGGATCAGTAGGGATTCACAGGGTTTAATAGGGTTTTTATAGGAATCTATAGGAATTTCAGAGGGATTTGATAGGAATTTGATCGGAATTTATTGGTGATCTCAAGGATTTATACTATTATAGTCATAGGACCCCCAAAATAGCTTTTGAAAAGTTGGAAAGCTGGAAACTAATGGAGGACATATCATTGAACTACCATCCTGGAAACTTATGTCACTTATGTCTATGATTAAAATCTTGAGGGTCATGGAGGTGTTTTTTCAAAATTGGGATATTCCAACAAACCACCAACTTACATTATAGCCCAGAATCCAGGTGTGAAAATCAGAATCGGTTTCAGCTGTGGTCTATCTATAACTGTTTCACATGACCTTATTTTGGAAATTATTTTGGAGGATTTAGACCCATGAAATGGGCGTAAACCTTGCATCCTTATACCTATCCAAAAGAGGGCCCAATTGGGTTCCAGCTGTTATATCAAAACAACCTAACATATCTAACATGGCCATTTATCAGAAACAAATGACAAACATGATCTGATCTGTCTGACGTTCCTTGATCTGATTTGTACAATCGCGACAAACTCGAGGAACCATGGCAATCACGAGTCCCGGATTCGGCAACTTGCTGCTCATATGTGAAGTGGGTTCATAGCAACAGCCAACAAAGCAGCAAGTCCGCAATTTATCTCCAAATGATGATATATATATATATAATATATATACTGTATATAATAATACCAAGAATAATAACAATGATAAGAAATACATATCATTAAATAGTTTTATAATGCTTTATATATGAATGTACATATATATATATGTATGATTATATTTATATGTGTGCATTAATTTGTTTCATTTTATATATCACATTCCATATGTAATCGTGAGAAAATGTATCATCTATGTATATATATACATGTTTCAGGAAAGTCACATATTTCATGGCCAGAAAGCCATCAACGCCAGGCCAGAATGCTGGCCTTGCAAGACACCTCCACAACCAGCGGAGCAACACCGCCTGAGTTTGGGAATCAAATGGTTGGTAGCAGATGTTTGAGGCATCTCTTTTTATGTTTTGGGGTGTTTTTCATAGATCACACTGTGTTCCTGTTCAAATGGATGGGTTTACGACACCCTGTGACTGTGAATTGGGCACTGATGTATTGCTCGATCGATGAGTGTGTTGCTAGCGTTGTGTATTGGCCCTTGTGCCACCGTCGAGACATAGGCATTTGTTTCCCCCCATGACCAGGAATAGTCACACTGTACCTCCTCGTCATATCATTTTTTCTGACTGGATATGAATATCTTGTAACTTGCATATATATATATATATAATTATATATATAATTATATATATATATTTATACTGTAATTATATATATAATTATATATATATATGTAAAATTATATATATATATATGTATATATTGTATAATTATATATTATATATATAATTATATATATACATGTATAATTATATATTATATATATAATTATATATATAATTATATATATAATTATATATATAATTATATATATATACACACACAGTCTCCAAATAAAGGTCTTTCAAATATGGTTTGGAACCTCCCCCATTTTGAGACAACCTCCAACTCACTAACTAGGGTAAATATCAATATTGCCGGTGAAAAAACATCCGCAGAGGGTGTAACTTTTCCGACAGATTTTGTCGTTAACCAATCCATTCCGGGCAAACCCTCAGTCCTGTCCATCCTTTTACATACAGTCTTCTTAGGTCTTTTGAATAAGGGTGCAGTAAATATCATGTGTATATCTATATAATTATATATATAATAATATATTATATATATACACATGATAATATATATATATATATTATCATGTATTGCCAGTTAAATCACTATTTAAAGATATTGACTGTTGGTGAAATCCTTGGTTCATTATCCAGATGGCTGACCCACCAGGTCCTTCACAGTGTTCGGGAACGAGTTCTGAAGGCATGGAGGGAGCATGGAGGGAACGGAATTTGGAGCGGTTGTATCCGTCTTCCCAATTAGAAGTAGTTATACTTACTATAATATGTATATATACATATATATATATATATATAGAGAATATATAATTATAATATATAATATATATATATATATATGTATGGGGCCTATTGGAGCTATGACTTTCGCGACCACACGATAGCATCAGCATCGTTTAGGCTGGTTGGTGATGGCTCCACCCATTTTCTTCGGAAGCAATGCGAAGTTTAAGGATGGAAAAAAACGTAGACCCACAACAAAAAAGACCTGCAACGTTAAGTTTGGATTTGGATATTAAAACAGTATTCAACAAAAAAACAAAGAATCCATAATAAGATGAGCAAATCACCAGGTCAGTTGACGTCTTTCCCCATGGTTTGTAGCCCACCAAACCAGCTGCGGACTCGCTGGCCAGGCTTCAGCACAGCTGCAGGGCCTCGCGCAGCTGCGGAAGGCGTATGCTTAACAGACTGGCCATATTTTTTGTTGGCGGCACAGTACTATATTAATCTATATTGTATGTCCAATATGTTGGAATTACCCTCTGGTAAACTAACGTAACTATGGAAAATCACCATTTTGAATGGGTAAATCCACTATAAATGGCCATGTCAATAGCTTTTTGTATGTTTACCAGGCCGGTTATATCTTCCCCACTGACCAACATTTCCAGCACGGGCATGGATTGATTCAGCACCGGATCAGCTGAATCTGACGGAGTGCCCAACTGAAATGATCTATGGCGGATGTAAAAGAAGATGGGGAAAATAATCATTATCATCAGTGGGATTTCCATGGACTTATCATGAAATTATCATGAATTTATTGAATGGATTTCAAATTTGATGACTCTCCATCATGGTTTGCATTGATCCCATGAAAATTTGGGAACTAGCAATGGCTTGCTCTGAAAACTCCACCTACGACCGCTGCTCGGAAGGTCGAAGCTGGAAAGTCACAAAGGGACTGGGAGCAACTTGCCATTGACATTGGCACACGATGGGATATTGGGCGGGGATGGTGAGGAAGGGGCTCAAAGTATAACAACCTTTTAAAAAGAACGGTAGAGATGAGGATTTCCCCAGATTTTCCAGGGGTCCAACCTTTTTACTTGTATCTTTTTTGTGAGTAATAGTGTATCTAAGACTACGAGTCGTGCATTTGCTGACGAGGACAGATGGGTCAGCCATGAAACCCGAAAAGGTGAGGAGGCCTCTGAGGAAGATTTATCAGATTGGACAACTCAAGGGCTTCATGGCGTTCTTTCCACGGGATGGTCAATCCCAAAGATACAAAACTTTTGTAGATAGTTGATATCCCCAATATTTTGAAGTCCTGAACACTGGAATACATTGGATGACATCAATTGACACAAAACATGGAGTCATGGAGTATTGGGTCCAATTCCGAAGATCTGACGGTTCCAATTTCATGATACACCTGGTTGGTCGTTTCGAACAGGTTCTACCTTCCACCCTATTTGGGATGATGATCCCAACATTATCCCCACTGACATGTACCATGTTCAGGTTGAAAGCATTGAGCAGCACACCGTATAACTGACATTAACTGGCAATAATGTGGTAAATGCAAAAAACAAAACAAAACATACCCAAGTCATCAGCATGTTTATTGGTGGTAAAAACCATCTCCAAATAGGAGGTTCATATAGGTTTATCCATTTGGGTTTACCACCTTACCATCCTGGGTTCCACACGCAGTTGCCCAGGAGGCAGTCTCTGAGCATCCTGCTCTCTTGGGCTTTTCCGGAGCTCTTAGCGGAGGCTGCACAGCTGGGAGTTCGGGTTCAATGGAGAGGTGGTTTCCCAAGCCATGGGGGTACCCCAATGATGGTTAATTTCATGGGAAATCCCAACCAAAAATGGATGAGAAGTGGGGTACCCCCATGACTTAGGAAACCTCCATGTGGGAAAATGCATGAAAATGCTGAGAATATGAAGAAAATGGATGACCATGGCCTCAAAATCATCATGGTGTAGACTAGTGCCAGGCCGTGCCTCCAAAGGAAGATGCGCCCAGACAGCGCGGGTGCGAGGCTCAGTACTAATTAACACACATAGGTTAACAACCCAAAAACTAAAATATGGGGAAATAGTAGGATATCAATACCAAATTAAAATACACATTTTGGGGATTAACATTAATCCGTATTTGTTCGGGTTTATTATTAATCCGATATAAGTCAATAATCCCTTTATATAGTTTAAAGATAAAACAACCCCAATTCTTAACAATAATTATAGGGATTATATAACTATGGGGGATATTGAGGTAAATAGATGTGAATAGAAGATTAACCATCCCTACATCTATCATCCGAACTGATGTGGTAAACCCGTAAAAGCCAATAAGAAACCATCCCCGAGTTTGAGCTTTTATGGCATTGGGTATACCCCGATTCCGACTGGGATGATGGACTGTGCCGAAACGCCTCAATCTCGAAAAACCGAGGAGAGGTAAGTCATCACTTTATCCATGAAAGTCACCCAGATTAAAGTTAGTATCATATCAAGTTGATTCTATTCCCATAGTCCCGAAAAATATCTCTACATATGTGGAGATGTCCTAAAATAGGAGTACCCCTAAATCATCCAGTTTAAGAGGCTTGTTCATAACCCATCCTTTTTGGGGATCCTCCATTTATGGCGTGGGTGTCTTCGTGTCGAGGCGACCATACAAGCTCCACTGCGGCTCTGAAGTCTTCCTTGACAAGCAGGAGCGATTTCAAAACATCACAAAACATGGCAAGAATGATGTGTTTGGATGATTAATCTCCGATGTTTTGGGATATGTTGGATAATTACTATCCAAGCAATTGATGTTTGGATAATTAACTGGATATTGTTCTATCAATGTTAATTAACAATCCATCCAACATATGTTAATTTTCTTGTTGGATATTAATGGATATTACTGTTGGATAATTGCGGGGTATCTCTCGGTTGTCGACCCATCCCTTGATGGTAAAAATGAGGACCCCATGTCTTATCCAATTAATCGGTCATATATCGATCATGTTTTAATGGGGAAACCAATGCCTTCGCAGCTCGGTTATTTAACATAGCTATGGAAAAAAATGCCCCTTTATAGATTATTTATGATGTTTTACATACTAAATAGCTATTATCCATTATCTATATTGTTACTATGGATTGTTATTTAGTAGCTACTAGCAATGGCGATTTTCCACTTTGCTCCGTCAAATTACCAGAGGCTACCCCAATGCGACCTTTCCTCACCGGTTTCTGAGGGTCACTTCACCCCTGCTATATCCTCTAGCAAACAAACAGAGCCATATACAGCAAATGGAAAATCAATGAAATTGGGTCAAAATTAAAGACCTGGGGGACCACAGATTTTAGTCCTTTTTTGGTATTACTGTAATCATATGTAATCATCCAATTATTGGAGTACTTAAAATGTGGTTTCTTCCTTTACCAATTGGAATATGTCATATGTGCCATGGTCAAAATTGGGTTTACACGATTTACACCTGTATTTGGGTCCTCAGTAGGAATTTATACCAATCCATTAAACCATTATGTTTTGGATTCCCATGAAGTTGGATAGATGACCATAGTACCCATAGTCAGCTGGTCGTGTATGTATATATATATATATGAAAAATATAAGTATAGACATATCATTGATAATTATATCCCATTATAATTATCTATCCCATTATGGCCCATTGTATACGGATTCCATACATATGTAGATATATATATATATATACACGTATAGACACTCCAGTATACCATTATATGTTCTTGGTCATTATACCCCATTATATATCCCATTGTATATCCCATTACATATCCCATTATATATCCCATTACATATTACAATATATATATACACACCATTACATCATATTATACCACTATACCATTGTATATATATATATAGTGTTAATCTATCCATTACATGGTGCATCCCACTTAGTAAATGGGTTATACCCCTCAGTTATATATGACTTATAAACCACCTACCAAGTGGGATGCATATCCAACTATATATGTATTTGTGTATACATATATATATATATATACACGGGCAAATCAAAGTGACCTCACTGTGACCTCACTGTGACCTCACTGGAATCATGTTTGATATGGCGATTCATCCCCGGCCTTTCTTCAGGTTAGTGAGTTTTGGGGAATGTTGCGGAAATTGTTCACAGCCTCTGGATGTTTCTGAATATTTCTGAGCACTAGATCCATCATATTACATATATATATATACACATATTTATATATATATATATCAATATATATATATGTATATATATATATATATCATTATGATCATTATGTATCAATATGTATGTGTATATATATAGCATCAATATATATATATATATAGCATCAATATATATATAGCATCATTATATATATATCCTTATATATATATATATCCTTATATATATACATATATCACATTAAATATAATTAATTATATATATGCCAATATATATATATGTAAATATATATATACACCATTTTATATATCATCATATATATATATCATTACATATATATATATACCATTTAATATATCATATATATATGGGGTTCCTAAAATAGGGGTACCCCGAAATCAGCATCATGTTAGTTTTTCGGATTTTCCCTTAAACAAACAATTCAGTTTGGGGATCCCAGCTTCCCCGCTTCGCGGCAGGATCCCCTGGCGGAGCAGGAGCGGCTCATCGTGGCTTCCGCCACGGGCGGCAAGGCCAAATGGGTTTCTGGTTTCTGGTGATTTCCCTAGGAAAATATGGGAATATATTGGATAAAAGTGACAATACATAGATGGGAAGATATGGGAACATACCCGAACATGTGGGAAATCACCAGAAAATATGGGAACATGTGGGAAGATATGGGAAAATAGCTGGAAAATCGATGGAAATTGGATTTTATAGTGACAATACATAGAAAACCCATTGGAAATTTATGAAAATAACGGAACATATGTGAACATATCAAGTTGGGATGAGAATCAGGATTGGAAAATAGGGGTAACAACAGATGGATTCACCAGCCATGGCTGGGATGGAATGTTTGTGAGTGCAACATAACCAGGTTCCGCAGAGCAGAGCATCATGGGATAATATATGAACATTTTGGATAATGTGGAAAAATATGATGTGAAATTGTAGCTGGGATTACAATTTTATATTTGTTATTTGGCAAATCGAAAGTACTTGAATCCGAAAAGATTTGGATAATCTGGTTGAAAAAGGGTATTTTGCATTTCCAGGGTAAACTACTGGTGGTATGTTTCATTGTGCAATCAAAGCATGATGGGTACACAACCATCAGCCAGTGATCGGTGGAGGTGGGACTACCTTTTTTCTCTTTGTCGTAAAAGTGTATAAGACATCATATAACAAATGTTGTTCATTTACTACGCATAATCATACAAATTTAGTTTCGCGGAGGCAAACTATATGATGACATCAGGTAACATTTTGTTTGGGATGTGTTTCTACCATTTTTTCTCTGCAGCACATCATGCTCCAACGGTTTGCAGATCCGTGCATTCTCCCACAGATCATTTTTTTTTGTATGGTTTCGGTTTTGTTCAATGTTCAACATTCTGAAATCTTCCCATTTTCCACAATATATGTTTGTTTCCATACATTTCCATATATGTCGAATATGTATATATCATATATTTGGAAGCGGCTGGCCGCCAGGTTTTTTGGGCCATGGCGGCGGACGTGAAGTTGTTGGAGGACTATGGCATTGATGTGAACGCACCACTGGAGCATAAGGCGGCGGGGCTGATTTGTTGGGAAAAAATATGGAAACATGATATACTGACACAGCACCAGCAGCGACATGTATATGTAATTAATACATATTTACTGTAAATATACATATACACGCATGAATATATATATATATATATTTAGCAGGTATCAAGGATTAGCGGCAGCACGCATGCTACGCCCCACGGTTGCTTTCTCGGTGCAATTTCACAAGTAGAAATCCAGTCTCCACCCCATCAAAAGATCTGCATGTATATAGCAATAACGAGAGCACAGCGGCAGGTCATTCGGCCGCCTTTGGATCAAGCCCCGATAGCGTAGCATTCTTCGTTTCACGGAGCTCCAAACAGATGGACGCGGAGTCCGGATGGAGCCAGAAAACCCTGCTGGATCGGGCCGAAACCCCGCGAAAGCCCGGACAGAATGAGATGGATGCAGAGGAATGGACAGCAAAAGTTCATATTGTTGTGATGCTCAAGCTATGATTTAGAGTTGTTGTTTCTATTTCACTTAAAGTTATTTGTTTTAGTGACTAGGATTTCCCAGAATTGGATCATGGGAGAATTGAGAGGAAACTCGGAAGCGTCAGTGATTAAAAACCAGCCAGTCTCCTGTGGATTTCCCAAAAGACTATAAATAAGCATATTGAATTGAAACCTTAAGACAGGTGGACTTTTCCCAATATATGTTTATATCCCCATTATATAATCCCCATTAAATAATCACCATTAAATAATCCCATTGATATATGTCCAGCTAAATTGCAAGATTTTCCACTTCTTTTCAGTTGAGATGTTCCTTTTCCCACGAAAACCGGTCCATTGAGGATTGGTGTGGGCTATCTCTTTCCGATTGCAGCCATTTGGGCAGCCTTCGATTACTGGAAGGAGCTCTTCCCAGATCAAAACGTGGAGTTTGCTGTGACCGCTTTTTACCAGGTGCGAAACAAATGTTGCTATCCACCAATGGGGCTAACTTTCATGGCTCATGGTCACATCCCAAATATCATACCAAGTTGGTTATGTATGGTTATGTCATATCATATCCATAAAACATAATAATTTAGATAATATATTCCCAATTATTCCCATAGTATGTCTCCATTACATCCCACCATATTTCTCCATCATATCCCCACAAAGTGGGGTCCTCAGATAGTTATAACTTATAACCCCCATGAATACTTCAGTTATACCGATACCCCCATAAACACAAGAAATCACCAAGGTTTGCCTGGAAATACGATACCCCAAAAATCTATCAGTTTACCCCATTATAAAAGCCCCTTTTGGGGTCATACCTCCCATACCCCATCCCATTAAGTGCCCTAAGTGGTTACAACCTCAGCAACTAACCACTAAGTGTGATGATTCTGATGATCCTCAATGATCCTCCACAATCCCATTGATATCCGATCTCCCATATTTCCATCACATGAAATATGTTCAATGGTTCAACCAGGGTACTTTTAATTGCTCAAAGCACGAAATCTCACAACTTAAGTTGGTTACATATTATCTCTCCAGGTACATCCCCATGAGATCTCCGAGATTTGCCCAGCTTCCCAGGTGGGTTCCATCGTCACGGTGGGCGCCCTGTCGCTCATCGACTCCTTTAGCTTTGGGCCTCGCATCCTGGGCGGCTTCCTGGGGCAGCTGCTGTGTTTGGCCGCCATTCTGGACTTCAGGTGGGGCCGGGAGGCGGCGATGAAGACATGGGGATGCAACCAGGAAACGTGTTGATTTATCCAGAAATTGATCCAGAAATATTGGGGACTTGAGAAGCAATCAATGGGGATTCAAGTGGCAAATCTTGGATTTCTGCAGGTGGCTACCTGTACCATCCTCAGTCCTGTACCAGCTCCTTCTGCTGGTGGTGCTACTTTGCTCTGTGGCCACGGGATTTTTAGACTCGGCACTTCTGTCTTTGTGTTCCTTGGCATCTCAGCCGAATGCTGAAGCGAGACACTCTGGCTGTCCCAATCACCGAACTTCGATCCATATATGCCATATGCAGTGCAAATTTAAGTCCCTTCCCCGCGACAATAAACATATACCCTATCATACCTTCAAAAGCCAAGGATTGGATACCTTGTCCAATATCATACTGTATAAAGGATGAGACTACATAGCATGCACCACTGCGTGACACTTCGTTGCGCTGCATTCATTCATCCACTCCACAGCTTCAATCCCAAGGTTCACAGTACAGCTCCAACATGCAAGGCTACTTGCAAATCGGCCTTGGCGTCTTGTCAGCTTATGAATGGCCCTGTGATTTGAGAGGGTCATGTTCTTGGACACACCCCCATTTCCAACAAACGGGTGTTCCTCAAAATTGGGCTCCCCAGAATTAGTGGTTTCCCCAGCCAGACATGATCGATTTTGGATGATTTTGGATGATTTTGGGATCATCCCCCAATTAAAAAAAAACCTCCCAGTGAGGTGTATTCTAGGGTAACAAGTGGCTTTTGGCTCTGTGAGATGCCTTGTAGGAATCTCAGCATGTAGATTTCAATTTCACAGCACATCATGCATAGATATAGTATGATATAGTATATGATAGTATATACTCTTACAAATATTCGAGAAATGTAGCAGTGAACATTCATATAGTTTCGGCATTGCCATGCCGCCAGTTTTCCTAAACGCTTGATGTTGTTGTAGATTTTCATCCAACCCTTTTCTGAAAACAATGGTGATGAGCCCGTTCGGGCTAGTTTTAGCCCAATTGTTTGATGCTACAACAATGTCCATTTCATCCGTTCTTAAAAATGTTTGTAAAGCAACCTGGATTGCAAACGCAGAACATGTTCCTGCATGTTCCTCCATGTTCCTGCGTGTTCCTCCCAAAAGAATCCGATCAGCATATGTATGTATATGTATATATATATATATATATATACAGTAGTCCCCATAAAGATAGAAAAGTAAATCATCACTATTTTAGGATGTCACCTTTTTTTTTTGACATCGGCTGCGACTTTCCGTCGCGTCGCAAGGTTTTGGCACGTTGGTCTCTGTGATCTACCGTGATGGGACCAAGCTGTGGCGCGGCGTTTTGGATTTTCATAGTGCCTATGGGATTTCTATGGGATTTATGATATTTCATTGTCCCATAAACCCATATATTGGGATATATTGGGAATAATCATCCGGGATTTATGATAATTTATTATGACTGGTTGGTGGTTTGGAACATTTTTTATGTTCTATAATATATTGGGAATAATCCTTCCCAACTGACTTTCATATTTTTCAGAGGGGTTGAAACCACCAACCAGATGATGTATCCCCTAAATTGAAGATGAAAACCCGATAGGTGTGGAAGATGATTATCTTCTGATAGGATCATTGCCGTTGTGGGTAATGTTGGGGAGTGTGGCCCAAATTACGGGAAGTTTGATGAGGAACTTGATAATAATCATGGAATTATCCATTTGCCAGCCTGAGAGGAGTTCTTGAAATTGAGCATCCGACAAATCACCAATGTGACTTTTGGAAAATAGAAAGAAATCCGATGGGATGCCATGAACATGATTCAAACATGCCAATCTACAGACATTGTGCGAAAAGTGAAACCAGTTTGGTTAGTATGTTACAGGCACACACGATCATTTTGAGGTCAAACATATCCATTTTCTCAATAGCTGGCGGATGTGCCCAACATGGTTGTTTCTGGCCCGTGAGAGCATCATTCTTCAAAGTTGCTGAACTTTCAGGGATTTTACTGTTGGATCTTTTGGGGATTACCATACGAAACTAAACCAACGGACATATTGGGGATGCCACCATACACACCATCAACAGCTGCAGAATGTTCGCCTTTCATTCTGCAATCAGGTTCATGTCGCGAGATGTGGAGGACTCTACCTGCGCGTTTTTTGTTATTGCGCTCCTCACGGTGCTTCTGTGCATCTCTTCCTACCTGCATCTCATGTCACTGCCTGCCTCCAAGCACCTGAATGATGCTTCAATAGAAGGGCCGCAACTGGTGTGGGGATGGGTTATAGAAACATGGTTAAACATGCTTAACCGGCTTAAACCCTATGATTTTCCATGTGGCCATGGGGCCACGAACATCCGTCTACAATTGTCTACAAAGTATTTTGGTGTGAAAACATTCCCCACAGGGATCACTATTTTGGCGTGCCAGGCCATTCGATGTTTCCTTTTGATCAATTTGATCACTCGGATTGAAGTAACTTTAACCCCTGAAGTGATCATTTAACAAACCCAACATCTTGACATGTTTTTGTTGGGCTGGGAAGAAAGTATGGATTGAAGCAAACATCCTTTAAGTGTTTTCTGTGGGAAGCTGTAGAAGATTACGCTTAAACATCATGAAACATTCATGGATGGCGCCAAGGATAGCAGTGATGTCCTCCAGGCCGCGGCAACTTCCTATGGCACCTTATCCAGTCCAAGTGCTGGGAGAAACACCAGCCTCAGCGCAGTCCTTCAGATCGTTTCTCCGTCGAGGGAAGGGAGTGCCATAACCCATAGGATCCATGTATGGTATATATGCTAACATTTGGGGTGTATTGATGGTAAATGTTACCATATATAGCATACATGGATCCTATGGGTAATCATGAGCCCCTTCTACCATACTGTAGGGCTGGTAGGATTGTAGGAAGAATGGGGTTATCATCGTGCAAGGGTTAGTTTGGGACTCGGGTGGGCAAGTGGACAGCCAGCCGATAGGCAGCAGGGGCGCATCATGTTCGAGGTGTAATGTTCTTGGACCAGGGATTTGCGTGTCCATCAGTGGCTTTTTTTCAGGGTGGTTGCTGGCAGCGTATCTAGCGATGGTGGCGAATCATATGATATCACTATCACTGATAGGTTATCCCATTTATGAGTGAGTTCCAAGTCATGTACAGTATTTCACAGCATCTTGTTACTGCAAGTTCTCATATCATATATGTTATAAAGAGTTATATACCACGAGATACCAAGAGATACCAAACAAGTCAGATTGTCGCTGAACTGACAATTTAATAATTATTGTGCCTTCTCCATGTTCTTGGTAGGTGTGACCCTTTAAGAAGATTTTTCATCACAGGATTTTTCTACATCATCCACCAGATTTGTTTCATGACCCCTGTTGGTCAATACACATTAGGGATCATTGGGGGTTATACTACCCAATGCATTGTGGATTATCAAAATCCATAAGCTGGGTTTTTCAACCACTGTTCACCAGGTTTGGTTCAACCAGCTCATGATCTTTGCCAACTTTATCTTGACGACCATCTGCTATCCTGCTCTCATTACTGCCATTCCCTGTCGACAGATGCAATCTTTGGCATCCGCGGAATGGTTTCAGACACTACTGTTGACAATCTTCACCCTCTTTGAGCGCTGGCAGATTTAGTTGAGAACTGCTCCATGAAGAACCCCATTTTCTCAGTATGTTAGGAGAGGGTCTCATTTTTTCTGACTTTGATGTGCAATATCTTGTAGTAGTTCTACCTACCATTTTTTTTTAGTAGTTCTACCTACCTATTTTTTGTTGAATGGAATCTCCTTCAATCATCCTAACTGGGCTGTTCTGAGTTCGTCTTTGCCCTGATCCAACTCATCAAGTTGGTACACCGACGCCGGCATCACAAGTTAGCCATTGCTTCATCAACGACGACACGTCTTTCAAGGCATTTCTATACCTGTTTTAATTGTTTTTATATGTTTTGACATGGTCCAACGATTATTAATTATAGCACACCCTTGGATACCGGGGGTGTGGCTTGGCACAAGGATATTTCAGCTCGTTTCGTGACCCACATTCGCTTCGGACTTCACCACGGCAACATCCAATGGACGGTGATCATTCGCGCCTTGCTGCTGCCACTGATGATCTTTTGCGCAGCTTCACAGACACCTGCTGGAAACGTCAAAACAAAACATAAAGGGAAGGGTCGAAATTAGTTGGTCAATGGATGTTCATAGTTCATCCCCTAAAAATGTTATGTATGGGCGGTATTGATCCATGGCCAAATGGGGATCGACACTTCAAAGCCTTAGATGAAACGCAGATGGTGTGCATGATAGCTGTGTTTGGGTAAGCCCCAAACAAGACAAAGGCTGTAAATACACTTCCATAATCTTCCGAATAGCAAATGAACCATCTAATTCTAGGATCTTCTAGGGTCCACTGCCATAGCAAATGTAACTTTGATTGGGCTATGCCATGCTCAATGATGTCAGGATTGGCAACGACGTGCTCTCCATGGCTGCTGTAGCATGTTTTGGATTTTTGAATGGCTACTGTGCATCCTTATGCCTCATCGTGGTCAACGAGATTCCAGACCTCTCCGCTGAGCAGCGAAAGACCTGTGTCTTGTCTCGTTTGACACGTTTTGCCCCGCCTTGGAACTGCCAATGCGGTAAACGATGGTAAACCCCCGAACCCTAAACCAAACTATAGCATTGCCAACGATGAAAAATAAACAAATAACTCGGTTGCCAGCCATCCCCCCAAAAAAAACCTGCATGACACTGGGTCAATCTCAAACCAGTGCTGGGCTCCAGAACCGGGCCGTCCTCTCGCGGAAACTTGGGGTTACCAAATGCAGCTGTAGATAATGCAAAATGTCCATGTTATTTTTTGTTTGATCGTATTTGTTGCTGTATATATAATATATACATACATTATAATACATATAATATATATATATAGAGCTGTCTTTTATTTTTTCTGGGAAGAGTATGCTGTTGATTAGATACTGGACTCATATTTGTTGGTTGTAACAGACTCTTGGACCGTTTGTCCTGTTCCATTTTTTTGGTGTGTTGTACCGTTGTACCTTTCTTGTTGCTTGTAACTACATGCAATCATGCCATAGGATACGTCTTATATTCTTTTTACATACACTCTTGTTAATGGAAAAATGAATCGAAACTTCACACCAAAAAAAAACACACCATGAAACTCCTCACACCGTCCACCGCTGGTGTCAAGGTGGGCGCATCTCTGCTGTTTCAGTGAACTGTGGCCTGTGTGTCGGTTCACTGGCAGCAATTGCCCTTGGAAATCGCCTGAAGTTGAGTTGAAGTTGATGACGCTTAAGGTCAGGGTGGTGTTCATTTTGTGTTGATCTGGCGCTTCTAGGGGTGTTGACCCATAGAGGGACAATCCGCATTGAAACTTCCATCGTTTCAGCGTGAGAAAATGGCCTGCTCACAGCTGCCGGGCGAGCTGAAATTATCCATACAGATGGACACATAATATGGAAACCAATGATCAAAACCCAATCAGTTTGGAACATACAGTTTGGAACGATCGAAACCCAATCAGTACTGTACTTTCGGTTTTACATCAAAATAGCGGTATCGGTATCAGAGTTATATTGGCTACTGGATGGGTTTCAACATGTTTCGACCCTCCCTCACCAAGTATCAGATGCTTTCCAGGCACTGGGTAGATCTTGGAGCCATGGGCAATGCATATGGGGTTACCCTTTAATCATCCATTTATAGAATGGGATGTTCCATGAAATAAACCAACCAGTTTTTCGGGATCCACCATTTGTGGAACCCCTCATGTTTTTTCTTGATTTCCAAATACTTGTATATGATCTTGTAGGCAAGTCGCTGAACAGATTCTTGAGTAAAAAACAAACATACTTCTGATTCTCTCATTTTGTCCTTTGTTCCGGTTCCGTGATGACTATTACAACCACGGACCATAGCCATCCATAACCATCCATAACCCGGTCATAGTGAAGAGCCATCCTTCCCACAGCGGCGATGCGGGCCGACCCAGCGTATTGTCAGAGGTGTTGAGTACGCCGGAGGAAACTGCAAGGTCGGTCGCCGGAGGGCAGCAGGATTTTTTTTTCCCCTGATCGCCGGGTCACGGGTCAATATGTGGGACCAATAAAGGTGGGGGTGTTGAATACCCATAGGATCCATGTATGGTATATATGCTAACATTTGGGGTATATTGATGGTAAATGTTACCATATATAGCATACATGGATCCTATGGGATATGAATGGGTGATGGGATCGCATCAGTTTGGATTAATAAATTTAGAGGCAGCAATCCACAAGCGCCACGCTCATTTGGTACAATGTTTGACGCCCTTCACGCCGCATGTATTGAAGACTTTGAAGATGTGTGGAAATCCAACATGGTCTGGCACATGTGTTCATGTATTGGAAGAATCATATATTTTCGCAGACCCAACTCCAGCATTTCAGAATCTTTGTCCAACAAATATGATTGTATAGGCTGGATGTTCCTCGGGTTTTTGCAACCACACTTGCATGGCATCCAACGCATGATACGCACAGAAGTTGTCCGTTTCGGTCGTGCAGGTTGTCAATGCCGGAGGTGAGAAGATATCTCATTGGCCCTGGGCCCAAGTTGGACACCCCGTGAAACACACAGCCGGAAAGATGGGTGAAACTGCTTCACCTCAGACTGAAATTGGGGTCATCAGCTCCATTCCCATTCTATCCTTTTCTGGACCCGTTTTCATGTGGAGACCCGCCAAATTCATCCCAGCAATCCTTGGGATGCTTTGGATAGTTCTTTTTTTGGGGAAGTGCATGGTGTACTTTGAAAGACAAATAAAATAGTAAACACAAAGGTATCATGTGGGATCAGAACATACGCCCGACCTCTGTATCCCGGGTTCCACGGATCAAGGCAAGCAATGTGATGTAAAATCTGAGCAGGAGCACTGGATGCTGGGGTGATGTAAAGCCAACAATTAGTGTCCAACAAACATGGGGAAAATGGCATGTTCACATTCTCAAGCTAAACATAAAATTAATGTTCACCATTGAAAACAAGTTGGTAACCAAGAAATAACTCTGACTGGTGAAGGTTATCAAAGGTGAAGATTGTTCATTGTTTGCACAAATGATATATTTCAGACCCTACCAAAAAACAATCTCTGGTGCGATTGGTGTCGTATAGCATACATGCTAACCATGGAGCTAGCATATTTACCTATACTATCCTACTATACACAACATCCGGACCATTTGCGGAACAAGTCCTGATTAGTCGGTGGTGGTGGTGGTGGTGCCTGCGTCAGGAGCTCATCAAATACATGGGATCGCATCCTGAAGATTTTCCGCCTCGGGATGTTTGGAACCCTGGGGGCTGGCTGGGTGGCCAGTTGAGAACTTGGCGCTGCGGCAAAAAAAAGCAGTAACATGTTGGAAGGCTTGATTTTGCAGTACCAGATATAGCAAACTTGCATCGATTTCACGCAGTTTTCTCCATCACCATCTTGGGCCATCAGTGGCTACAGTTGGTTGATAAGGATAAGGAGTGTATCAGTATCACTTAATGCCGAGCGTAGTAGATGATAGTAGATGTAGCAAGTGAGGCTGCAGCCTAAGTTCTAAGAAATTGTAACTTCAGTGGAGGAGAAGAGACTTAAAGAAATCACACTTTCATGGGGATGGAAGAAAGTTCATGGTGAGAATACCATAGAATACCCCTGTCGACCAGTGCCTTGAGATTCACCACATGTTTGCATTCCCCCAGCTTGATGATAATCCTTTGCCTAAATCAACAGGTGCAAACACACACACACATTCAGTATGCATATATCTTTATACTGTATATAACATATATATATATATATAACTATATATATATAATATTATATGTTCATACATGTTCCCTATCTTCCCTATTGAACTTGCAATCTTGGGCGTTTAATATACCGGTACACCACATGTTCATACACACATGTTCCATGATTTCGCTGGATCAGAGCGCAACTCCTCCGTACGTTCTGGCGAGGTCACGGATTTGATCGGGGACATTGCCATGACCGAAGGCCCTTCCAGCCTGTCGGGATGCTCGGTTGACATTTCAATTTGAATGGCTCTGTTTCTGACGGTTTTTTTTAAATTGTTTCATCCACAGATCATCAAAACCTATCAAAACCATCAGAACTCCCAAGGATCTTTTGGCCCCAGTCCCTGATGCCCAGATATGCCTAGATTCAGCAAGCCTGGGTTTTTCGGGACGAGCCGAGCCGCCGAGCCCCGAGGCTTTCCGAGCTGGTGCACAAGATTGTGCTGTTTGGGATCCCCGGGACCCATCGTGGCGTTGACTTCCAAGAAAAGTGATGCAAAATGATATGCTTAGCCAACATAAATGGATATAAATAGTGATTCATCCAACAAACATGGTGATTTAGCAAGATTTAGCAATCCATCCTCAGATTCTTGTTGCTCAACATCATTCAACATCATAATTTGCAAGATTGACCGGCTCGTGAATGGTTGCCCAAAAGATACCCTCATGGCAGTTTTTGGTGGCGAGGTTGATTTTGAAAACCATTGGTTTTCGTGGTTCTAAATTGTCAGTCAAACCCACCACTCCCAGAATTAGTCTGCTTGGGAAATATACCGGAAACCCTGGAACCCTCCAATACCTGGGGTCAAAAATCATTGTTTCCTGTAACTTTTCCCTTCAATCAATCTAAAAATGGGGAAACCATGGGACACCCAGAGGTCACATCTCCATGTTTGTTGGAGAAATCGTTGTGAATATCTACATGAAAATCATCATGTCGGATCAATCCCATTTCTTCATCAACTCACCATTTCACCGTTAGTTAAATGACTATCTCTCATAACTCCCAACCTTTTTTCTTATTAATCCCTTCCTCCTAATACTAAACCCCCCCCCCTTATACAAAACACGGCAGGTAGTTTTTAGTATTAGGGGGGTATTTATTATTAGGGAACCAAATCGAAGTCATGTTAATTAATTAATTAAATTTCCTTATATAACGCAATTAAAATATTGCCAAAAATGGCAGTTCGAAGCTTACCCCTAAAAACTATTTTTTCCGATCTCAAAATCAATTAAATTTCCTTATATAACGCAATTAAAATATTGCCAAAAATGGCAGTTCGAAGCTTACCCCTAATACTAAATTAAAACCCTTAGTACTAAAAACTATTTTTTCCGATCTCAAAATCAATTAAATTTCCTTATATAACGCAATTAAAATATTGCCAAAAATGGCAGTTCGAAGCTTACCCCTAATACTAAATTAAAACCCTTAATACTAAAAACTATTTTTTCCGATCTCAAGATCAATTAAATTTCCTTATATAACGCAATTAAAATATTGCCAAAAATGGCAGTTCGAAGCTTACCCCTAATACTAAATTAAAACCCTTAATACTAAAAACTAGCCCCCCTAATACTAAACACCCCGGGATGAATTAGTTTTTAGTATTAGGGGGGAGAACCCACAAATGGGAGGTTGATTTTTGAATTGTTTTTTAAAGGGGATCAATTAAAAGTCAAATTGGCCAAACTGAAATTTTCGGAAATTGGAGATGGATGCCTGTTTTTAGTATTAGGGGGACGTTTAGGATTAGGAGGAAGGGATTAGTTGAATCACCATGTTGTGTTGGAAATCGAAAACTCCTCCAAAAGCCCCGGGGGAGCCGGGGTGGAGCCCAGGTGGCGGAGTTCGGAGTTCGCCGTGGCGGAGTTGGTGGAGGTGGCCTGCGCCCTGGCAAACGGAGGAGTTCGGGCAGCCCAGTGGGGCCAGGGTCGCTTCGGCCGCAGCGAAAAAGGTTGGGACTTCACGGAGCCCCTTTCTTCATCCCCGTGGCAATTTCCACTCTAGAACCGGTGAACCTGTGCATAGTTTAAACGATTTTTTTAATGCATTGGAATTTTAAAATTGATGTCAGGCTAGTCATTTTATTGTTGGGGGGTTGGGCTAAGCATTTTATTGTAAAGGTAAATCCTGATGATTTTTAACATGTTAAGATTCCATTCACATTTTATTGCAAAAAAATGTTTGCTTGGAGCATTTTATTGCAGAATGGAACCAATGCTTTTCCAGGATCTCTTTATATCGATTTTATTGGGCATGTCATTTTAGATCAGCGAATTTTAAGGAATTTGAAGGAATTCTAAGGAATTTTAAGGAATATTAAAGAATTTCAAAGGAATTATAAGGAGTATTAAGGAATTCTAAAGGAATTATAAGGAAATTTAAGGAATTTAGAGAGTTTTAAGCAATTTTAAGGAATCTTAGAGGAATTTTAAGGATTTTAAAGGAATTTGACGGAATTTGAAGGATTTTTGAAAATTTTTAAGGATCTTTACTGTTTTTAAAATTTAAAGGATATTTAAGGAATTTCAAGGAGTTTTTTGGAATTCTAAGGAA